TGCTTGGAGTTCATTCCTTAAAAAAAGAAAAAACCAACAAATAAATGATCTCATACTTCATCTCAAAATCCTGGAAAATGAAGAGCAAAACAACAGCAAAAGAAGTAGAAGGCAAGAAATAATTAAAATCAGAGCTGAAATTAATGAAATCGAAACAAAAGAAACAATTGAAAAAATTGACAAAACTAAAAGTTGGTTCTTTGAAAAAATAAACAAAATCGACAGACCCTTAGCGATGCTAGCGAAGAGAAGAAGAGAGAGAACTCAAATTACTAGCATACGGGATGAAAAAGGCAATATCACAACAGACACTTCAGAAATACAGAAGATAATCAAAAACTATTTTGAATCCTTATACTCCAATAAATTAGAAGATAGTGAAGGCATAGATAAATTTCTTAAGGCATATGATCTGCCCAGATTGAGTCAGGAGGATATAGAAAACCTAAACAGACCAATATCAATTGAGGAAATAGAAGAAACCATAAAAAGACTACCAACTAAGAAAAGCCCAGGTCCAGATGGGTATACAGCAGAATTTTACAAAACCTTTAAAGAAGAACTAATACCAATACTTTTCAAGCTACTTCAGGAAATAGAAAAGGAGGGAGAACTTCCAAATTCATTCTATGAGGCCAACATCACCCTGATACCTAAACCAGACAAAGACACTTCAAAGAAAGAAAACTACAGACCAATATCTCTAATGAACCTAGATGCAAAAATCCTCAATAAAATTCTGGCGAATCGGATACAAAAACATATCAAAAAAATTGTACACCATGATCAAGTAGGATTCATCCCTGGGATGCAAGGCTGGTTCAATATACGGAAATCAATAAATGTTATTCACCACATCAATAGACTTAAAAATAAGAACCATATGATCATCTCGATAGATGCGGAAAAAGCATTTGACAAAGTACAGCATCCCTTTATGTTCAAAACTCTAGAAAAACTAGGGATAACAGGAACATACCTCAATATTGTAAAAGCAATCTATGCTAAGCCTCAGGCTAGCATCATTCTGAATGGAGAAAAACTGAAGGCATTCCCTCTAAAATCTGGAACTAGACAGGGATGCCCTCTCTCTCCACTTCTGTTCAACATAGTTCTCGAAACACTGGCCAGAGCAATTAGACAGACGAAAGAAATTAAAGGCATAAAAATAGGAAAAGAAGAACTTAAATTATCACTATTTGCAGATGATATGATTCTATACCTAGCAGACCCAAAAGGCTCTACAAAGAAACTATTAGAGCTAATAAATGAATTCAGCAAAGTGGCAGGATATAAAATCAACACACATAAATCAAAGGCATTCCTGTATATCAGCGACAAATCCTCTGAATTGGAAATGAGGACAACCACTCCATTCACAATATCTTCAAAAAAAATAAAATACTTGGGAATCAACCTAACAAAAGAGGTGAAAGACTTATACAATGAAAACTACAGAACCCTAAAGAGAGAAATAGAAGAAGATCTTAGAAGATGGAAAAATATACCCTGTTCATGGATAGGCAGAACTAACATCATCAAAATGGCGATATTACCAAAAGTTCTCTATAGGTTTAATGCAATGCCAATCAAAATCCCATCGGCATTTCTTGTAGAAATAGAGAAAGCAATCATGAAATTCATATGGAAAAATAAAAGACCCAGAATAGCAAAAACAATGCTAAGCAGGAAGTGTGAATCAGGCGGTATAGCGATACCAGACTTCAAACTATACTACAGAGCAATAGTAACAAAAACAGCATGGTACTGGTACCAAAACAGGCGGGTGGACCAATGGTACAGAATAGAGGACACAGAAACCAATCCACAAAACTACAACTATCTTATATTTGATAAAGGGGCTAAAAGCATGCAATGGAGGAAGGATAGCATCTTCAACAAATGGTGCTGGGAAAACTGGAAATCCATATGCAACAAAATGAAACTGAATCCCTTTCTCTCGCCATGCACAAAAGTGAATTCAAAATGGATCAAGGAGCTTGATATCAAATCAGAGACGCGCCGTCTGATAGAAGAAAAAGTTGGCTACGATCTACAGTCGGTGGGGTCGGGCTCCAAATTCCTCAATAGGACACCCATAGCACAAAAGTTAATAACTAGAATCAACAAATGGGACTTACTCAAACTAAAAAGTTTTTTCTCAGCAAAAGAAACAATAAGAGAGGTAAATAGGGAGCCTACACCCTGGGAACAAATCTTTACTCCTCACACTTCAGATAGAGCCCTAATATCCAGAGTATACAAAGAACTCAAAAAATTAGACAATAAGAAAACAAACAACCCAATCAACAAATGGGCCAAGGACCTGAACAGACACTTCTCAGAGGAGGACATACAGTCAATCAACAAGTACATGAAAAAATGCTCAACATCTCTAGCTGTCAGAGAAATGCAAATCAAAACCACCCTAAGATACCATCTCACTCCAGTAAGATTGTCAGCCATTAGGAAGTCAAACAACAACAAGTGCTGGCGAGGATGTGGGGAAAAGGGTACACTTGTACATTGCTGGTGGGACTGCAGATTGGTGCAGCCAATTTGGAAAGCAGTATGGAGATTTCTTGGAAAGCTGGGAATGGAGCCACCATTTGACCCAGCTATTCCCCTTCTTGGTCTATTCCCTAAAGACCTAAAAAGAGCATGCTACAGGGACACTGCTACATCGATGTTCATAGCAGCACAGTTCACAATAGCAAGACTGTGGAACCAACCTAGATGCCCTTCAATAGACGAATGGATAAAAAAAATGTGGCATTTATACACAATGGAGTATTACTCTGCATTAAAAAATGACAAAATCATAGAATTTACAGGGAAATGGATGGCATTAGAGCAGATTATGCTAAGTGAAGCTAGCCAATCCCTAAAAAACAAATGCCAAATGTCTTCTTTGATATAAGGAGAGTAACTAAGAACAGTGTAGGGACGAAGAACAGGAGAAGAAGATTAACATTTAACAGGGATGAGAGGTGGGAGGGAAAGGGAGAGAGAAGGGAAATTGCATGGTAATGGAAGGAGACCCTCAGGGTTATACAGTGGAGGAGGTAGAGAGAGAGGAGGGGAGGGGACGGGAGAGGTGGGGAGGGGGGAGGGTGGAGGATGGGAAAGGCAGTGGAGCACAACAGACACTAGTATGGCAATTTGTAAATCAATGGATGTGTAACTGATGTGATTCTGCAATCTGTGTATGGGGTGAAGGTGGGAGTTCATAACCCACTTGAATCAAAGTGTGGAATATGATATGTCAAGAAATTTGTAATGTTTTGAACAACCCACAATAAAAAATTAAAAAAAAAAAAAAAAAAAAAAGAAGAGTGGGCAGAGAACAGGCCAGCTGCCCTGAACTAGCTGAAAGGACCTGCTATAGCAAAGGTGTTGCCGGGACCACTGGAAGAAGCAATATGGGGAAGGTAAACTTCGGAATAGAAAGAACACTAACCAATGAGAACTGTGTTTTTAAGAACATCGAAGATGTCAGAGTTAAATGCACAAGTGAGGATTCACATAGAACAGTATGCAATCCATGATGTGAAGTGTTGTGTTGAAGGATTATTATTCATAAATATATCATTTTAGGGTCGAAATACATAAATTAACCCCCCAGGGGTGTAGAAGAAAAAAACAACATCCTTAGAGTTCTAAGATATGGTAGTGTAATCAGCTAATTAGTGAAGTTACAAAATTAGGGTCCAAAGAAAGGAAAGGGGGCTAAGGATTATACTCACTCATATTTTTCCCTTGTATTAGAGAACCATCATGTTCATGGTCATGGCACTTTCAAATGTAAACAAATTAAAAGTGCTTCCTTATTTGGACACAGTGGTACATGCCTGTAAGCCCAGCTACTCTGGTGACTGAGGCAGAAGGATCGAAAGTTCAAGGCCAGCCTGGGCAATGTAGGAATCACGGGGTTCCAAATAAAATAAAAAGGATTGGGGATGTAGCTCTGATAGAGTGTTTGCGCAGCATTCACAAGGCCCTAGGTAGTTTGAAATAGGGAAGCATTTACAAATGCTTAGATAGCCTAGAATCTGAATCTAGGAGGTTTAGTCTTATTCCAACCCCAACTTTCCACCAAGTCCATGACTAGAGGATTAGAGAAGTGCTCTTTCAGACCTGTGACACCCTGGTGACATCAACAGGACACCACACCCAAGAAAGGAGAGTCTATGTTGTTTGATTCTATGTTCTGACAGTGGAAGGAACCAGAAGGGAGGTGTCTTGCTTTAAAAAACCATTCTCCAGCCCTTCAAACCGCGAGCTGGGCCTACCATGGATTTGAATGGCAGACATCAGTGCCCACCATGTTTCCTCTCCCTCTGCTAAGAGCTCGTTCGTTCCTGGGCAGAACCCAATCCCAAACCAGCGAGGAAACAGCAGCTTGGTTACCCAGTTTTGGCTCAGTTTTTGAGCTGCTTCCTTACTGCATTGCCCTCCACACTCAACCACTCCTGCCCCCTTCCTGCAGCCCCTGCCCCTGGTTGGATGGCCAGAGCACTACTCAGTGGACCTCCACTTGGGGCAGCTTTCTCTGCTTCAGAACCCAAGCAGCCATGCAAGATCAGGGCAGTTAACCGGGGACTGGAGGCAAATCTTGGTGAAGCCAGAGCCAAGGGCCCATTCTCCTTCTCCTGGAGGCAATGAGTACATCCCTCCTGCATGTCCTCTTCTTTCCTATTTTCTACCCCCTCTCCCTGTTTTGCCTGAGGCCAGAAGATGTTCTGTTCCTGCCACTGGCTTTTTATTCCCCGGGGTATCCCCAGCAAGGAAGCCCTGAAGTGCATGCAGAGGTCTCCAAGGAGGAAGTGTGGGAAGGGCAGAAGAGGAACTGGGGGAAGCAGGGTGTGTCCTGCTCTCCTTGGAGACTCCCCAGTGCCCAATTACCAGAAGGCAAGGGGCATGGCTTCATAACTGGGAGCAACTGAGGTGAGAGTGTCTTGTGAGAGCCCTGGACAAACATGAGACAAATAATCACCACGAAAGATCGAAATGGCTTTTTAATCATAAGGACCAGCTACAGAGGTCGCAGTGCCAACTCAAAGGTTTCTTGACAAAGATCTCAACACAGCTCAGTCAGCTGTAGTTTAAAACAATAACTTACAGACCAGCATTTAGCTGACAGGAGATCAAAAAAACAAAACTGAATGCACTTTCAGAACAGATTCAGAGGAAGCAACATCTGCATCACCATGTTCTCAGGAGAACTTCCTTGGTATTCGAGGACCGGTTCTCAGCAACTGTGACTAACTGTGCAGCATTGAGCTAATAGCTTCACCTCACCGAGCCTGTTCTCCACTGTGGAATAAGAAGACGTATCACCTTGGATATTCACAAGATCAATACCTTGAAATGGGAGAAACACGTGAAAGCACTTTGAATATATGTCTGACTTTATTAGTCCTGGTTCTTATTCATTTCCCAAATAGGTAAACGGAGGTTCCAATGGATAAAATTGCTTATTGGGTTTCAATTCTTGTAGAACAAGATGAAATTTTACTTACAATATTTTTTAGAAGTAGAAAACACATACCCATGGTGAAGAGGGGAGAGCAGTAGTCCCGCCTTCTCTTCCACTCCCCGCCAGTGTGCCCTCTTCCTCCTGCTGTGCTTTAGCGCACCCTCACCCTCATCTTTCTGTCCCTGGAGCATGTCACGTGTGTTCCAGCCTCAGCACATCCAGAGCATCTGCACCCCTGGGTTGGAGACTTTGAAGACTGGGACGGGGACAGGGTAGTTCCAAGATGTCCTGGGTTTTGCTCTTGCAAGGTGGAAAGGCTACGCCTTCAGGGATCAGCCCTTTTCTTTCCCACAGCCCAAGGGCACAAGGATGCAGTCGCCACTTCCTTCCGCCTTCTCTCCCAGGGTTCTTTTCTGGGAAAACAAATTTCAATTTTGGAATTTTAATCCTCAGGAAAACATTTGTACCAGAATGATGGTTCTGGATTATTCCATGCTGTCATCTGCAGGGCTGGGAGAGGACAGGAGCCTGACTTTTGTCTATCATTATTCATCCTTTCCCTGGCCCCACCAGACAGCTGGCTGGAGGAAGGAGAGGGAAGAAAGGCTTTGTAGAGGTTAATAATAATAATAAAACTGTCTTGTTTGTTTCTTACCACTGTGGAATTCTCATTTGTCTGACAGTTTGGAGTCTGTCACAGGATAGTAACCATAACAGATAGTTGACTTTTTTCCCCCATCAGGGTCCAGGCTGAGGCAGTCAAGGGTACATTGCCAAGGTCATTGTCAAGGCAACCACTTCTGCATTCCAGCCCATGATAAATGGCAAGGTTCAACCTGCAGGCTGCACCTCAGCTAGGCGGGCACCACATTGGCCAGCTGGGAGGAATTTGAAGGGAATTGGCATCCAGGGATCGCTCTGTTGGCGCAGCATGGTGAGGGAGGTGTGCCACCTGACCTCAGATGCCCTTTGTGGGTGACCACCAGCTGCACATAATCCTTCCCTTCTCCTCATTCTCCTTTTCCTCCTCTTCCTGGCTTACCTTCCTAATATCACTCTGGTCTTTATTCCCCTCTCCTGGAACCCCCACTGGCTGTCCATTATCTCCTACTTCTCTGCTGACCATTTCCCAGGTAGGGAAGACAGGTAAGCAGCAAAGCAAGTGCCCCCTCCAGGCTCATTTCCAGGCCCAGTTGCCCTCCTCTCAGCTCCTGCTGACTTCCCACAGACTTTCCCAGGCCTCATTTCTCACTCCCATTGGACTATTGAAGCTCTGCAGGTGGCCTGGAGCTGGGGGAAGGGAAGAAGGAATCAGATCTACTGCTGCGGCTGCCCCAGGGTACTGTTGCCAAACCCCAAATGGGATATTAGGAGGCATTTCCTAGTAAATCAATTGTAAATCCAATATAGTTGGTTTCATAGTTCCATTTAGTAACATCAAGAATCGTACGTGTGGCTTCAACAGCAAAGGTAAATTTACTATGGGAAAAGCATACATTTGCTCTCAGAACCAACCGCTTTAATAAAGCTGTGAATGGTTATAGTTTTCTAAACTGGGAATTTCCCATTGTGAGCGTTGGAGAATTTGTGGAGTCACGAGCCTTGACTCAGATGTCCAAGCACTGCCCAAAGCGCTTTCCACACATAAAACTCCTGATCCATTGATGTTAGGTGGAATGGTAGCTTGCTAAATTGCCCAGTGTCATTTAAACTGAAGAGGCTTGGCACCTGGCACTCAGTATTTTTTCACTGAGTGAAAATTTGGGGTCAGAGGACTTGGCCACGTAGCTCATGTGCTGTATAGGCTCAGAGACCTCTTACCCTCTGCACTTCTCTGGTTATCCCTTCATTGTAATGGGAACCACCGGTCACACTTCACAAAATTGTTGGGAATGAAAAAGGAGTAAATAGATGAAAATGTGTTCCCTTTTTGTGATACAGACTTATTTTTGAAATTAGAATTATAAACTCCAAAAATAATTTAAAAAAAAAATTACCTAAATTCCAAGGTAACATTTTGGTCCAAATGTTCTCCCACTAAAACTAAACATGGGAATTTTCACCTTTTAAAATGAGTTCCTCTAGTACATATTACAGTTAGTATGTCTCTGTTTAATTAACTATTAGGTAAATATCTTTAATTCAACAAATCATAGTCTGCTCATAATAAAATATTCCATTATAGTGATAGGGTCATAATATATTAAAGCAATGTCTTATATTTGGAGATCAAGGCTGTTTCCAGTTTTAATTTTATTAAATAATGTTGCAATAGTTAATCTTATGTGGATATCTTCATATCCTTGCCTTATTATTTTAAGTTCAGTTAATGTGTATTTCCTCTTATAAAGATTGTGCCAGTCCCTTATGGCCAGATCTGCTTCTGAATTCATATTTTATAAAGATAATAACTTTTCCTTTATAAATAGCCTGCTTCTACCTTTTTTCTCCTTTTTGATTAGGGTCTTTGTGCTATTTTATTGATGTTTAAGAGCTTTTCACATGTTTGTCAAGTATTTTGCCACCTATTTTTTTATTTATTTTTATTTTTTTTGTTTTTTTTTAATTTTTATTGTTGGTTGTTCAAAACATTACATAGTTCTTGACATATAATATTTCACACTTTGATTCAAGTCGGTTATGAACTCCCATTTTTACCCCGTATACAGATTGCAGAATCACATCTGTTACACATCCACTGATTTACATATTGCCATACTAGTGTTTGTTGTATTCTGCTGCCTTTCCTATCCTCTACTATCCCCCCTCCCCTCCCCTCTTCTCTCTCTACCCCATCTACTGTAATTCATTTCTCCCCCTTGTTTTCTTTCCCCTTCCCCTCACTTCCTCTTGTATGTAATTTTGTATAACCATTTTGCCACCTATTTTAAAATTATATATCTCAGTTTGTTATTGTTAATACCTTGTTAATGTTTATCACCTAAGTTTTTGGGTAAAATAGTGTGGAAATCTTTTTCTTTGTGAAGCTTGTTTATGGTATCATAACTAAAACACCCTTCCAACTTCCAAAAGGATGTGATCATTAATTTACATTACCCAGTACTTTGAGTGGCTTAGCGGTTTTATTTCTGAATTATCTTTCATCTCTCTGAATTTTATTTTGATGTTAGCTTTAATGTAGGTGTCACTGGTCACTGTCCCATTCGTTAACCAACCCTTCCTTTTCTCACTGACTTCAAATACCATCTGCATTAGACACAAAATTTTTATATATGTTTAGATCTGTTTCAAAACATTCCATTTGTTCTGGTGATCTGTCCATTTCTTCTGCTGCCAATACCACAACATTGCTTCATCTTTATGTTTAATAGGTGGAGCACCATGGATATTCAGGGCAGTGAAATATTCCATATGATACTATCATGGTAGATACGTGTTATTATACATTTGTCCAAATTCATAGGATGGACAACGCTAAGAATGAACTTCCTGCAAACTACAGTCTCCTAGTGATAATCATGTGTCATTGTAGGTTCATCCAAGGTAGCAAACGCTCTGCTCTGTTGGAGACAAAGGGGGAAGCTACATGGGGGCGGGGGGGGGGGGGGATGGAGGATGGGCAGGGCATATGGGAGCCCTCTGTGTCTCTACTCAATTTTGCTATGAACCTATAATTTCTCTAAAAAGTAAAATCTATTACACAAAAGAAAAACTAGACAATGCTGCTGAAATCATAGAGTTTTCATTCAAGGGGAAATATAAAGACAAATAGAAAATTAGAATAGATTGCAATTTAGCAAGTATTGTGATATAAATATTACAAGGTATCAGAACAGTGTTTCTCAAACTCTGCTGAAGGACCAACTTTTTAAAAAAATCCACTATTAGGTCTCCCAACCTCTTTATTATCCTCATCTTTGAAAAGCTATTCGTAAAGTATTCTGTGTGTGTGTTAGTCATTATTTGCCACTGATTTGTAATGGATTCCTTGTTAAAATGAAGATAGTTATGCATCCGACCTACCTTATACTCTGGAGAATAATGCAATTGCCATTATTAAATGCTGTAGTACTCTCTTAAGAGATTGTTGTTCTATAAGAATAGACAGAAGCACATTTCAAACAATGTCTCTGATCACAAAATAATCTTAATAGCTCCCTACAAATCCACCATGCAGAGTAGAAGCATAACATTTATAAGAGCTATATCCCATAACCACACACTTTTTTTAACCACTGTTTTCTTCAAAGAAGAAAATTTAAAAAAAAAAAAAATTCAAATTTCTTGAGTATAATGAACAGAGAAAGCCCCCTGTGGAATATGAATGATGAGCAGTTAGCTAGTCCCACTCACTCACTAAATGAGGCTGATACACTGTTCAAAATTAACTAGTACAAGTCACAGTATCAAGTGTGAGTGGGCCACGTGGCTGATTAAACCATCTTTCAGCATAAGTAGCATGAATACTCTGTGGGTAGCAAATCTAATCAGTCATTCAAATCCGACTACTGGCTGAGTGACCTCCAGAACACCACCACACAGCCACAGTGGGAACATGGCTGGCACTTAGTTCCTGAGACCTCTTCTGCCGCAAATTAAACAAGGAGCTTGGATCGGTGACAGTAATTTGTCTGAGCCTCCGTTCTCTCATCTGTTACTGGAGAGGCCTGACCATTTGGTCACAAAGGGCCCTTCCAGATTTCAAAATAGAAAAATAAAGAGACGGAGATACAGACAGACAGAAGGGATCTCCCTAACTGATGAATTCAGTGCTGTATGATTCATCTATTTACTATTTATCTATTTACTTATTTAAAAATTCATCTACTTATTTAAAAGACACATTTACTTATTTAAAAGACACTTGGAAGCATAAGTCGATCCTCATACTACTCATGGTCCCTAAATAAGAAGGGAAATGAGAAAAACAGGCTCTCCCTATCCACCATGTTCCCTTCTCACTGTGGGTCTAGAATTCAGGAAACTTGAGGAAGTCACAGAAGATATGGAGGAGTGGACTGGGCAGGCTGGCATTGCCACACTTAATATATTTATTTAGAACTAGGTTCTCAGCCTCAGCAGTATTGGTTATATTCATTGTGGGTAGCTGGCCGGAACACTGTAAGTTGTTTAGCACTCTCTCTGCCCATAATGAACAAAGTGCCAACAGTATCTTCTCCCAATCACTTGTGATAATCGACAACATTTCCAGACTTGGCCAAACATCCTGTGGGGACAATCTCACTTTGGTTGAGAAGCCCTCACGTAGAATCACCAAAGAGCCAGGCCTGTGCATGATGCTGAGCAAACAAAGAGGAGAAAGATGCAGGCCTGGCCTTGTGGAGTTTAGTGAGGCTTCTCTAACTGGAGTCTGCAACAGAGTCACTGCAGGCCTGGCTGAAGCTCAGTTCTTGAGCCCTCCTCACAGCTTCTCATTCAGCAGGTCTGGGAGCCCTGGAGGGCTTGCTTGCACCTCTGAGTTCTGGGGTTTTGCTGATGTGTCATCCCCCAGGACTACACTTTGAGAACCACTGAGCCATGACTCCATCTTACAGGGAGATGGTGCCTGTTTCAACCACCGCTGGGGATCTGGTAAAACTAACTCATCATTTTTAGATTTAGAAATTAGGCCCTAAATGTACCACTCAGCCTACAGACAACATGAAAAGTCATAGGAAGAGAAATAAGCGAAGAATTCCATGAGTGAGAACAATGACTACAGATGCTTGGCTTTATAAATTAATTTTGGCTTCCTTCTGAATTAGCAGATTAATAGCGAATAATCTAGGAATCTAAGCATTACTTCATTTTTACAGTCTCCATGCATTCTAAGCTCCAAATCATTACAAACAAACTTTCACAACCTACTTACTTATAACAGGGACATTTCTGTGTATAAGAAGACGAGGTGGGTGACTCACAGAGATCTCAAGGTTGCACATCTGCACAGGTGGACTCCAGCTCCACTTTCTTTCCATTCAGGTCCCCTTCCCTTGGTCACCCTGTCCCTGTCTCTGCAGCATCTTTCATGTGACGGCAATGTCACAGACCACCTTTGCCCTTTCTGGCTAGCATTATGGAGGATTCCACGTCTAGTACTCTGTACAAAATTTTCATTTCATCCGAGGACTGAAGGCTGTAATATCCGCTTTCTGTGGTGACACTACTAAATACCGTATTTTCTTTGAAAAGTCACACACCCTCAGGAGGAAGTGGGTGTGGTATTAAGGCAGCACAGTGAGGACGGGAGTGTTGTGCTACTGGTGTACCCAGCAGGGACAGCTCATTTGATCATTTCTTGTCCTGTTTCTGACACAGTTAACTTTGTTAACTGGCCATATCACTTTGTTTATAGGATAAAAGGGCAAGAAAGTGGAGCCCAGGGTCTTAAAACCTCTTTCCCTGATCCCCTCTAGCAGGAGATTGTTTCTCCATCCTGAGGTCCTGTGGCTTGGGTGGAGTAGGAACCACGTCTCACCTACGTATCCAATGTGGTTGGTGGGTTTAGCAAGTGCTTATTGACTCATGGCAAGAAGTAAATGTGTATGTGACTTAATCTATTTGACCAGTAGTTGTGGTTTATTCTGAGCCATGTCTGATTATCCAGGGAGAAAGGTACCCTTATATTTTTATTAGGGAAAACTTCTAAGGATATTCTGGGAAAGTCCTATGCGATCATAGTGGCTACCTTTCCCACCAAACACTGTTATAAGCATTTTCCATGGATTAATTCACTGAATCTTCACAACATAGACAAAGACCCAATTCTTCAAGGTCCCCTCTGAAGTGGATGTATCATATTCTTCATTTTACAGATATGGGAATATAAACACAAAGAGATTAAGTAGTTTGTCTGAGACTTTTTGGTTGGTAAATGATAGAGTTGGCTCTTATACCTTGGCAGTCTCATTTACAAACTGGGTATCTCCTTAACTCATTCCTGGGTTCCTTTGCCCTTTCTCACACTGCCAAACAAAGGTCAGAGGACAACGGAACCCATGCCCAGGGACATTGGTTTCAGCCTCCCAGTCAAGGTGACCTTTGACCAGAATGCCCTAGCCCAGGTCTGAATTTGACATCCCTGGTTCAGGGGAGTGCTTTTCCTCATGGGTCCGTCCCCACGTGGCAGGAAGCAGAGTTTCCCTAGTGCAGTGGGAAGACAACAAAGCACCCATGTCATATTTAGAGCTCCTGGTTTGAAAGACAGTGGGATACAGAGAAGAGTGTCTTTTCAAAGGAAATTTTGACACAGAGAGCCACAAATTTAACTAGCTTCTTGTACAAGGCAGCATCTTTGTAACCACTAGTCCACAGACTGTGGAGATCCAAGTATTCTCTGAGATTACTTGAAATTTGAAGGGTGTTTTTATTCCCTTCAGAATCCATTCTCCGTCTCCCACTGACACCCTCACCACAATACCAAATCAGCCTAGACATGAATCTCAGCATAGCGTCGTTTTCTATAGCAACAATTTGCTCACTCCATCATCTTCCCTAAGTCAGTCTAAAATAACTCTTTGAATAAGCAAAAAATAAAATTTCTAAGTGCGAGAAATGCATTGGGTTTCAGTTTAATTGACAGCACCTCATTTTTGTCTGTGAAATAACAATGTGTCTTGCAGTTAATGGAGACTTAGTTCAGAGCTGGTTAAGAAGTGGCAGAGGTGGGTTCAATAATACTTCTGAGAGTATTTATAGTGTGATGTACAGATTTCTCTAGCTTACAATGTTTTCTCATACTTTATCTCCTTAAATCCTCAATATAATACCAGTAGGTAAACATTATTGTCTTTATACTATAGATGCGTAAATTTAAGATCAGTGATGTTGAGTGACATGCCTGTGGTCCTAAGAAGCAGGTGTGTAGGTACTTAAAATTTCACAAGGATTCCACCCCAGGGAAGCTGCTGTGGGAGAGCTTAGATGTTGAAGAGTTGGGGGAGCAGAAGGTCCAAACCTCTGCCCCATGGGGTAGAGTTTCTCCAACATGATGCTTCACAGTCTCCATTAGGGCTGCCTCAAGGATACCAAACTGAGAAATGATCTTCTGCCTGCAAATCCAGGGGAAAAGAAGCCAGTGAGCATTTTCTTCTTCCTGCTCATGGAGTTAAAGCAAGCGTATCTGGAGCCTCCAGCTCTACATTATCCATTTTCACTTCTGACTCTTCTCAGATGATCAGGGAACCTGCTGAGTGACTCATTTCAAGATGAAACTGAGTTGCAACATAGTCACCTTGACCATTAGAGGTTCCATTACCTTACAACTCACCCAGGGCACAAAGGCAACATCAACGCGGAGGGAAGAATGGCTCTATTGGGTTAGAGGTTTTCATGAGTTTTATTATAATAATTATTATTGTTACTGCTTTTGCCATGTTTGGACAATCTCCACTCTTTAATGCAAACACACACACACACAGAGTCAGCTCTCAAGTTTCTTGAATCATTTTAAAGTCGATAGTTGGAACTCTGAACGTATGGAAATATTGTTATACATGATGGGCTTCCAAAGCAGGCAGCAATCACCTGGCAGTTCAGCTATAATGTAGGGGTAAAACTTAAAGGACAGCTTAGCCCTGTTTTAAATGCTGTTTCTGCCGGGCACAGTGGCACATGCCTGCAATCCCAGTTACTCAGGAGGTTGAGGCAGAAGTATCTCAAGTTCACAGCCAGCCTAAGGTAACTTCACAAGACTCTGTCTCAAAATAAAAAGGACTAGAGATCCATAACTCAGTGGTAGAAGCCCCCAGCTTCAACTCCCTCTATTGCAAAAATAAAAATAAGAAAAAACAAATAAACTCTGATTCTTTGAATTTATGAACTGTGTGGTATATATGATGAGGCTGTATCATGTATGCTTCAAGAGTCTGCCCACTGTAGCTGGCAGGCCCCTCACAGGAAGAGGAGGGGGAAGGTAGGCATATGAGATGCAGGGCCTTGGGGTCTGGTCTCTCTGTGAGACTCTCAGACCCTCCACCCACCCCTCACCCACTGCCCCTCTTCCTTCTTCTCCACGTCAGTAGTAGTGGTACCATTCCCAATGGAAGGGGACAAAAGGTAACACCTGAGATAAAAGGACATATTATTCCTATATGGTTTTGCTGAGAACCCTGCCCCAAAAGAGGAGACACTTCACATGTACAGGAGGTCTGTCCGTACCTTCCCCAAATGATCATTATAAACTTTGAAAGGAAACAAGTAAAGTGAAAACTAGGTGAGAAAAGGGCATTGCAGACACTCAGAATGTTCTTGAGAATCCTAAATCCAGACAGCAGGCAGCAAGGTGCCTAACATTTATTGAGAGTTTACTATGTGAAGCCCCATTCTAAACATATTTTCTATATTTTGAGATTTATTTTACTTTGACACTATTTTTAAGGGCTCTTGTTCATGATTGCAGGCAGGAGGGCAGTGCCAGTTCTGTCATTGAGTCCCCTTCACAACTCATTCTAATAGATGAGGGAATGTTAGGCTTGGGTTTCTCTTGTCATTGTGGACTGACTAGAAGGGTTTTTAAAAAAATATTATCTGCAATTCCTATACATTATTTTAATTCACTTGGAGACCATATTTGTGATAAGAGGCTTATGTTTAACCTCTTAATTATACTGCTTCATAAAAGTCTTAGCCACAGGATAAAACACTTCCCAATTATGTGGTTTTCCACTATGTACCATCTTCCTTATGTGCATATTGTGAGGACAGTTATTTTTTGCATATGTCACTTCTAACAGCATTCGATCTTTTATACAGCACCCACTTTTGCCTAAGATGCCTTTCTATCTCATCAAGAAGTGCACAGGCTATGAGTGTAGCTTCATTTGACAAGTTTTTTCTGAGCTCATGTTTTGTTTGCTGCAGATGAAGAAAATTCTAGATTGTTTCAGCTGATGAGAGTATGTAGCACTTCTGTTTCTCTCTAGTTCTATGGAATTTGTCCCCATCAGGTTTAGGTATGTGGACAACTATAACGTCACTCTGAAAGTATCTGGGCATTTGACGAGTGTAGGGTGAGTCAGCCTAGGTAAGTAGGCAGATCAGTGGAGAATGAGACACAGACCCAAATCCTCAGTTCAGTTCAATCCGTGTGGCCTGAGGCGTGCTGCCAGGCAGTTATGCTCAATCATGTGCTTGCATCAAAGCAAAGACAAATGAGGCCACACTTAAAGGTGAAAACATTGAGCTCATAAGAGTAAAGATCTTTTGTAAATTGCAAGTTCATGTTATGATGTTATTTTGCAGCAAAAGCTTGGATGAGTGGATGGACAGACCTGATATCCATCATGATAAGTGCCGTATTGAGATGGCTATATTCGAGGGTAGTGAGCACTCCACAGGAGATATATGCAGGGGTTTATGGGACCTTGGTAGCAAAGCACAGAGGAGAGTCACATAATTCAGCCCAGATATGCCCCTAAAAGACTATTTCTCCTCTCCTCCTACCCTATTTGTTACATGTCAATAAAAAGAGAGCCCATTAGAAAATAGATCAGAGTTATAATACTAATAACTAACATTTATTGAGAGTTTACTATGTGAAGCCCCATTCTAAACATCTTATATATGTTTGCCCATTTAATCCTCAGAGCCCTCTGAGGCCAGTAGTAGTAATAGAAGCACTTTCCAAATGAGAAAAACAGCCTTGGTGAGGTTAAATAACTCCAGCAGTTGAGTTCATGAGGGCATCGATCTTCGGCTTTTAACAAGCACTGGGATCTTTCCTTTGCTGTTGACTTTCTCTACAACTATTTGTGGCTTAATTTGACCATTGCATATCCTTGCAAGAAAAACAAATGCATGAGATCAAAAGATGATTGCTTTTGAAAATTAACTCCCTTAACAAAAATACATTGAATGTCTACCATGTAATCAGACAGAGGAACCAGCTCTATGGGCACATAGATGATTAACTCATAGTCCCTGTTCTTGGAATCCACAGACTTGGGAACCAGTAAATCTAAGAAGGCGTTCTAGGGAGATTTGATAGTTTAGCCATTGGCATGCTCTCTTTCCCCATCCCACAAACAACAGAATAAATGTCTAAAGGAACGTAATAGTAGAGGCTATCTTTTTTATCATATGTATGGATGAGGGAAGTAAGGCACCCACTGGCACTCACTCAGGGGGGTGGTTTCCATGTACATTGTAGATGAGAACAGGTTTTTACCAAGACCCCATATGAGACAGCTGAGAGCAGGAGTCACAGGCTCAGAGTAGGAGTCACAGGATTTATCCCATTCAGACTTTAGAAATGGCAACGGCAAGGCCAATAAATATGGTAGATGTTGTCTAGCCATGGGAGCCTGGAGCACCAAGTAAATCTCCCAAGATATGTTAATGGGAAGGAGATGGAGGAGGAGAAGGGAAGAAGGGGTTCAAAGAGAGATCGAGACTGAGCAGGAACTTGAAGAAAGAGGAAGGTGGGGCCAGGGGATGAAGGATGGAATGAAATGGGAAGACATTCCAGGGGTGGGGGGTGCAGTTGTACTAAAGGTCTAGAGCTACGAAAGACCAAAACTGAACACAGAGAGGGGTGGGGTGGAGGGCAGGTCAGCTGCTGCAATACATCAATCACAAGTTGATGCAGAGTTGGGAGATCAAGTAGTTGGTTGTGGAGCAGGAAGGAAAGGGTGAAGTCCAAACAGAGGGCTGGCCTGAGTCATGACACCAGTCATTGAGCTGGCAAAGTAAAAAAAGGAGGAGGTTGAAAGGGAAGATAATGGGTTCCACATAGGGCCAGGTAGATACATATGTAGATATACGTGGAGACAACAGGAGAAAATTGGCCATGTCCAGGAAAGAACTGAATGTGTAGTGTGCTTTTATTGCTCAGATGAGAGGTACACAGAGGGACTGGGGACCCAGCCCCTGCTTGGATAGAAACAGCCTAGTCAATTCATCATCTTAGACACACATTTTTTTGTGAAGCAGGAGACTACCACAGATAGAAGGCAAAGATGAGATTAATGAAGTTTGCAGTCCTTAAAGGACAGGTTCACAGCCTAATTCCTGAAGCAGGCTATTTCAGCACTTATATTTATGTCTACGAGGAAGTCTCCTTTCTATTTTAGCACCCAGGGAAATCCCCCCCTGTCCCTACCATCAGTTCTGAGTCCAGAGAAGCAACCCACAAAATTCTTTCATGCTAATTTCAAACTTGTATGTTTATGACACTTCTTCCTGGCTCTTGGCATATATATCTACACAAATGTCAATCTGTCTACTAGACGTCAGAACTCATGTCAGACTGTCACTGTGAAAGACTTTTAGAAAGAGACTCCACTTGGCTATCAAATAGAAGCATGCATCTGGTAAATTGTCAAAATGCTCGTGGTGAGGAAATAGTTCAGGTAGATTAGGTGAAACACAAGTGATTTCGCATTGCTGGTTAAATAAGAAATCATTGCTATCTAAGCAAGACCTTTGGGAGGAGAGAGTCTCACTACAACTCCATTCCATACTATAACAAAAACCCTGGAAACCTGAGAGACAAATCTAGGGGCTCTAAACAGGCACTGTTAATTTCAGGGGTATTAATGCAGCCTTAATTTCCTGCAGAGTTTTCTTAGAATCCTGGAGAACTGAGACAGGGACTGGGGACCTGGCCCCTTCTTGGTTAGAAACAAGTTTCTAGTTGTTTAGTTCCATCTATTCCTGAGACAGAGAGTGTTGAGCTGCTATTGCCTGATTAGGAATCCAACCTGGAAATAGATGAGTAACAGGTCACCAGAGGTCAGACTTGTTGCAACTCAGGCTGAATCAACAGTCCCTGCAGACTCAAATCAGAATTAATTACTAACCTTTACTTGTACTAAGAAATCTTTGGAAGTCCGTGCGTGGTTTGTACTCCCATAACTGAGGAGAGTTCTCAGGGTTTTGTGTTTTGTTTTGTTTTGTTTTTTCTGATTAGTGAAGAAACAGAGATTGATCTGGAAGACCCATGTGGCCCAGGGAAAATGAGAATCTCAAAGAAGTCATCTCATTGAACTTTCAGCTGAAAAGGGCAGAAGGCCCCCTAAAGACAAGGCCAGAAGATGTCTAGCTGCAATTCAACAGCATGGTCTAACAGAAAATGTTTCTGAGGTTAAGAACATCCAACAATGATGTTTGCACAAACACCTCCTTTGGCAGTTCTCCAGGATTCTAAGAAAACTCTGCAGGAAATTAAGGCTGCATTAATACCCCTGAAATTAACAGTGCCTGTCTAGAGCCCCTAGATTTGTCTATGAACTCAAAAATTATCCAAACATCAATGCTCCAGAGTGCTGGAGATGGTTCGTGGTCTTGCTAGATGAGCTATCAGAGGCTCAGCTTCCAGTTCTGCCACAGTCACTTCTAGGTTCTGATTACTCCATATAGTCTTTTCCTCCATACAAAGGCAGAAGAGGTAGCCAGCATGCCATGCTCACTTTGACTCACTTGGGAAAATTCATGAGGCTGGGATGGTTCAAGAAGAGAGAGGAAGCGAGGGACCAACTTTTTCACTGAATAGCAGGTGGCAGTTTCAGGCTAATGGGACCTTGTGGAAAAGCAGGGTGAAAAGAAAAGTGATGAGTTGAAGCCTGTGGCCGGAACAGCAGATGAAGAGGCAAATGAGATTCCTGGAATCTGTAGCCAGCACAGTAATCTCTATGAGGGTTTTTTGGTTTTGTTTTGTTTTTGTTTATTTTATGAAGCACTTTGTTTATCCTTAGACAATAAGACAACTATTTCACAGTGGTCAATGGCTCAGGGTTTAAGTAGTTTATAATGTTCAAAGGCTTATTTCCTCTGTGTGTGTGTGTGTGTGTGTGTGTAAGTGAAGAAAGCAGACCTTTTTGAAAACATAGAGTAAATAAAGATCAGCTGCTAACTGCCTTGAGCCAGTTCCATTACACACAGAAATAGACCCTGTAAGAATTTTGCGGTGTCATATTTAGTGTGACTAAAATAGACTCCCTCTTTATACACTCATTTTCTGATTACTGTGTGTTGTTTCTTGGGCACTGACTTGAATAACGGAAGAAATAAAATGTGGGAGAGCCTTGACTTCAGTCCACAGCCACTAAGCATGACTCGCTAGATTGACTGGCATTTACTCTCGGTTGTTCTCAGTAGAGGGGTTGGAAGCAGATGTCCAGAAAGCCTCTTCCTATGGCGAGGCAGGCTGTGGTTTGGGGTGAGTCCAGCAACATACTTTGCAGAAAGGGAAATAAAAGCCTTTGCTCAGATGGATAGTGGACCCATTTGAGGCTCTGGCTGTCCGTGATAAACTGCTTAAGTGGAGAGGGGACACCAAAAATAAATACATTGTACAGCCCCTGAACAGCATTGTTTTTTGTTTTTGTTTTGTTTTGTTTTTGTTTTTTTGTCACTTCCCAGGGAGCAACCATGTCACCATTTCTTCGAATCGGTTTGTCCAACTTCGACTGTGGGTCCTGCCAATCTTGCCAGGGCGAGGCTGTGAACCCTTACTGTGCGGTGCTGGTCAAGGAGTTTGTTGAATCAGGTAAGAGGGACAGGGTGGGGGGTGGAGGTGCCCGAGGAGGTGACTCTGGTGGGGAACCGGGTATGAAGCAAGGCTGTCCAGCACCTTCAGTCAACTGAATTGTACATCTCAGGCTGTTATTGCCCAGAGAAGCCAAATGCTTTCACAAGGACACATGCTTAGAGTTGGACTCTGAGCCAGAACCCGTGACCCGCTGGTGGTTCTATTTCACCATACTATTTTTTTCCACATAAATATGATTAAGGAGAAAGTTGGGTTGAGGAGACTCTTGGGAAATAATCTAGTGAGAATCTAGTGAGAGCTGGAATAGATATGTATAACCTATATTGATAAGCTTTGATGATAATGCCTTAAATGATTTAAGATAGATTAAAACTCCCTAATCTTAGTTGATCTTGCAATCAACTCTAAAGACTGCTTGCTGCTTTTTTGCCTAAGCTTAGAGGAAGGTTAGGAGAATCATTAGTGCTTAGAATCCACATTATGGTATTTTGTACTTAATTAGTTCCTTATGTGAATTGAAGAATAGTCATGTTTTGTTAAAGGTGAATGTTTACAATCAGTTCATGGTGAGGGGGCAAAGCGTGTCAGCCACCCAAGATTCCTTCTTTGTGATTAGACCTTTGCTCAAACGATCCTGTTGTATAGGGACCCCAGTGTTGTGTATTGTGAACTGTATTTATTGTGTATCAATCCCTGCCTCTGCATTTTAGGCTTCCTATGGTCTTTACAAAGGAAAGACGGGAGGAAGTTTATATATCCCAAGAGCATTCCAGGACCTCTACTTTCTCCTGTCTCCCTGTATCTAGACTTTGAAAAGAAAGCACGCAGATTTGCAGTAACGATAGAAGGTAGACAAGAAACAAAAATATAACATGGCGAATAATGATAGGTGCTCTGAAGAAAATTAAGCAGGGTCAAGGGGAGAGAGAGGGAAGGGACAGAGAGAGGTGTGTTATTTTATGTAACAACATCCTAAAAAGGCCTGTTTGGATGGCATCTGCAGGTGCAAGGTCAACCTGACCCAGACTTTGGGCACCTGAAGCTGGACGCCACAGCTCAGAATTCTGGGGCTCCATATCTGACCATGCTGGCTCCCCTCCCCCACCAAAGGCTTTCCCCTATCTGGCTCACTTGGTCCCTCCAGCCACTCCGAGTACATCAAAGCTGCAGAGATGGTCTGAATCATCTCGCTTTCCCTGCTGCCCAGAGTTCTCTCCTGTTTAGTTAAAAGCGAGAATGCCACTTGCTCCCAACCTAAAACCTTTCAAATGTCACAGACACCTTTGAAGTGTAAAATGTCTGAGTTTTTCAAAGGCGCTTTTGACTTAATGGGTCTCCTAGATCCAGTTCTCTTTACAACCTCAGGTCTCACTGACATTTGCCTCCTGGGAGCTGAATTCTTCCCCCCTCCTTCTTTTGGCTTTGCCTTTGAACTTGGTCTCATCAACCATGTGGATCAAAAGACCTTGTCAGAAAAAGAATATACAGTTGTCTTTCCCCTCCAACCCCAAAAGATTAGCCTGTGGAGTTTGGAGAACTTTGGAGATTTTTGGTTTGAGTTTTGGTTGTGTTTTGAAGAGAAACTGCTCTGAATGTTGTAAAAGTATTTCTCCCATAGAATTTAAACACATTCCAATCTTCAGGGCATGAGCCTGGGTTTTTGTGATGAGTCGATGGAATAGGGACAAACAGTCCACCTCACAATGAGACTCTGAAAATGGTAACACTCACTTTGCATAGGCACAATCCTGGTTCTAGTCCTCTTTGTAGGACATCACAAACCCAGTAAATGAACACATTTTTAAAAATGGCTTGCCTGGGGGACGTTTGCCCTTCTTTTGGAATGGATAATGATTATAATTGAAAGAATTCTTTGATGGGAAGGTTGTAAATCTGTGGAAGTCAATTGCTACTATGATCATTAATATCTCTGTTCATTTCTAAACAGCCCAACCTACAGTTAATTTTTTAACTAAGTCATAAATATCTTCCCTTCCTATTCCTTCTTTAGCAGTGTCATAGTTTATATCTCTACTAATCAAGTTTACCTGAAATTTGAAGTTTCAGCTTATTCAACTCCTAGAATACTCTCAAAAATTAAATATTAATTTAACAAATGCTAAGTGTCTGTTCTGTTTAGCCTTGTGCATAGTAGAGAAGAGGCCATCAGGAGTTAAATCTGCTTTGTGTCCCTGTAGAAATTTTTTTTTCACTTTATCAATATCTCTGAATTGCTAAATATGCCACTTAATGTATTTATTATCACAAGAAACTAACACTCTAATTCGGCTTCAGTTTTCTGCTTTGAAAATGATTAAGGAGTAAATATTAGAGAAGATCTTCTGTGGATGAAAGCTGTGTCAAAACGGCTTCAGGGGAAGTTTCCTGGAAAGGGGTCGTCTGGGCTGTGGCTCTTGCTCCTTACCGTGAGGAGGACGTCCTCCCATCTACTTTCCTCACTCACACATCCACAGTCTTCTTTGCAGACTCCATGGACCAAGTCTACCACCTCTCTGGGGTGCCTGTCAGGTTTTACTTAGGGTATATAGTGAACGAAAAAATGCACTTTCATTCAAGAATTAGAGAAGGGGCCACCAGGCACAGTGGCGCATGCCTGTAATCCCAGTGGCTTCAGAGGCTGAGACAGGAGGATCTCAAGTTCAAAACCGGCCTCAGCAACTTAACAAGGCCCTAAACAGTTTAGCAAGACCCTGTCTCTAAATAAAAAATAAAAAGGACTAGGGATGTGGTTCAGTGGTTAAATACCCCTGGGTTCAATCCCTGGTACCAAAAACATATAAAAAGAATTAGAGAAGGAAATAATGTCTCATTATGTCTCCAGGGCTATTGTCTTGGTGCATTTATATCAAATGGAAAATTTTAAATATTCTTTCCAAGGAGTACTCATGAGAAACTTAAATTATGGCACTGTCTCTCTCAGATGGACATAGCAAATTTGTATTGACTATTTTTTATGAGAAGTCAGAGAAATTAATCATATGATGAAGTCTTCATGGGTTAACAAAGAGGGTCTCAAAAGGGATACAACTTTTTGAATACTTATTTTCTCAGATTTTCACTCACAAAGTGAAGCAACAAACTGCTGAAAGGAACATTTCCAGTCTAAGGCATGAACTACATTGGACTTTGAAGACTAATGTGTTGGTATAACCTTGCATCTAGACTATGGAACTTGTCTCATTCTGCCCTAGATTGTTCTGATTGTGTGATGTTTTTGTCTTCACAACAGAATCACATATCCCAGGGAGCAGAGGGAAGGATGTCACTGTGGACTTGAATTATTCTCCTAAGCTGTTCAAAGGAACAATGAGAACATATCTTTTTTTTCCCCTAGAAAATGGGCAGATGTACATCCAGAAAAAGCCAACCATGTACCCCCCGTGGGACAGCACTTTTGATGCTCACATCAACAAGGGAAGAGTAATGCAGATCATTGTAAAAGGCAAAAATGTGGACCTTATATCTGAAACCACCGTAGAGCTATACTCCCTGGCCGAGAGATGCAGGAAGAACAATGGGAAGACGGAAATATGGGTAAATGTCGGAGCCATGAGCTTCATTTAAAGTGTACACCCATCATGTTAGCTGATGACTAACTCAAAATTTCTCCGTCATCCTAAAGGTAGGATTACACTGGTCTTAGGTAAACAGATTCCCTACCACTTACTCATTGGTGATAATTCATGACAGACTATAGAACATATTGATGTATTCAAATCTTTGCATAAGATGAAGATGGTCTCTTAAGCTATGAAAAACTCTTATGGATTTGTAACTGTTAGGGCAAGCATGGGAATATCACAAAGTCCCCTTAATTGGGAAATTTAACTGTTGCTTGTCAAGATATCTGAATTTGAGTAGATAGAACGAAGTGTTTGGTATCCTCTATCCATGTTTTGCAGATCCTGTAAATTTTTTTCAGCCATCATGAAGTCACTTAACTTACTTTGTACAAAGAAGTGCATCATACACAATTCATATCAACACACTAAGTTTTGGAAAACCTAGGTTATAACTGGCTAGCAAATTTTTAGAATTGTTAAAAAGAAAAAGTAAAATATAAAAGTGTAAAAAAAAAATGCACAAGCAGTGAAGTGAAAAATTCTCCATCGTGTACAATGAATCAAAGAGCTTTCTACTGTCATGTATAACTGATTAGAACTAATGAATAAATAAATAAACAAACCTAATGCATAAACATTTCTAATGAAAATTTCTGGAGCACAAAATGAAATAAAATATATCATTAAAAACTGCTTTTGGGTGATCCAAAACCCCAGAAAATGTTTTCAAATATATTTTTTTTATTTATGCCAAAGGAGAGAATCTTGCTTTTCTGCTTCTTGCTATTTCTAAGATTTTAGAAACCCACCCAAAAGGTTTTCAGGTCACAGGTTTCAAATGGGAATGATACAAGCCTAAAACTACATTTTTGTATCAGTTCTGTATTTTCTTTTTTTTTAATCTAGAACAAACAAACAAAAACATAACTTTTAAGGAAAGCATATAAATCTGTGCTTTTGCCACTAAAGTAATCAAGTATATGCCAAGATTTTCTTTAAAGGTCCCCATGCTTAGACATATTTAGGTAATGTAGTTCAGCAGCATCTATTGAGTGTTTCTGCATTCAGCTTGGAGAAAGGGATCATGGAACAAAAAGCATCCTGGGGTACCTGCTTAGGCAAGCAAGAAAAGGTTAAATTCAGATGTTTGTCCTAATGTTAAGGAGTTTACCCAAACCAGGTAAGTGAGATGTGGGTCTCCAGTTTGATCTGAAACTCAGGAACTTTGACATGACCAGGAGAAAGAAGAGAGAAGCTACCAAACCCTCCCGTAGTCCCCTTCCATTTTCTACTTTCTACCTAATTATCTTTCAAGGTAAGAATTGCCAACTTTCAAATTCTTAAAGTAACATTCTATTCCAGAATCTTTCTCAATGAATGGAAGGATAAAGAGGGGTTTCCTTCCCCCTTTTATTAATTAGGCTGCACTTATATGAAGTTTGCCTTTCTATTTCTCTCCAAGTTATATTTTTTTTTGTTTTGGGTTTTGTTTTTTGTTTGTTTGTTTGTTTTTTGCTGATTTTCTTCTTATCAGATATTTTACTTTCCTTATAGTCAAGGACTATTGGACACAAGCATATGGTGTCATTAAGGTCCTCATTTAACCAACTTGCAAACCTTTTCCTTTTTTAAGCTTTGCCCCCCTCCGTGCCCCCCCCCCCCCCCCCCCCCCCCCCCCCCCCCCCCCCCCGCCGTTATTTCTTAGTCTGCTTTTATTTTTAAGGGCCAACAGATTGTTTTGAACTTACATTTTCCCTTGTTTCTCTTGTGAGCTGCTTTCTTAAAATTTCTCTACTGAAAAACAATTTTTTTTCAAATTTAGCCTTCATCTCCCTAGATGCTGTTGTGTTTCTAAAAGCACAATGACAGTTGCCTTCTGCTTTCCCAAGGCTGCAACCCTGTGCATGGTCACTTCCCATTCCCTCCCCAAGACGTGATAAAATATGGCTTTCTATATGTATTGTTTTTCCAGTAGCTGCCTGACTGGATTTCCTCCATCAATACGACTTCCTGAATGTTGATAATGCTGTGGTCACCTCATTCTGACTTTCACCACTTCCTTTGGGTGGGCTTCTCATTCCTTGCTCTTCTCCATTTAACTTCTTGTTCCACAAACCATAGAGCAATGGTGTCTCTACTTGATGCCCAAAATACCTCTCTCTCTATTAATCTGTTTAAGCTTACATGAGAATTTATAGTTAGCTGAATAGTGCAAGCTTTGTCTTATCATAAAACTCTAATAGTAGTAATGCTATGATACAGAAATTGTTATTATGTCCATTTTCCAGAGATCTTTAAGGCATAGTGACTTATACAAGGTCATGCGGCCCAGAAATTATTTAGCAAAGATTCAGATTTGACCCTAGGTTCAACAGGACGTTTCTTGCTATTTCTCACTTATTCTAGTTAATCCATGGACGTGATGATCAATAACAACCTCTGATTCATCATCTTTCTTATTCTTTTTAGTTTACTAATGGCATAGTATGATGGTTTAATATGTTTGTAATAGTACTTATATTGTCAGATTAATCCCTTTTTTTCCTCCTGTATGTGCCTACATTACATAACATCCTTTATAAAATGGTACATATATATGTGTACATGTTGCATATATTGCATACATTAATTAGATTGGTATGTACTTATGTGTATGCATTATATATACTTGTAATATATAAGAAATATTTTAACTAGATTGGTATAGGAAATGATTATTATATTATTATATACATATATTATACATATACTATATATAATCCAGTTTAAAATATACATACATCGTATATGTTCATATCCAGTATAATGCATATATCCATTATGCAATACTTGATTCTGTACTAAAGGAAATACATATCTATGTATATATATAATATATTATAATCCCTTCCCATAATAATCTGATTAAAATTTCCTTTAGTGCAGAATCCAAGGAAGCAGTTTCTACTCTGTCAAAGAGGAAAGCTGCTGCCACTGAATACACTGGTTAACCTAGATGTGCATCCCAGGTAAAGGGAAGAGGGTCTACAGGATTTAACTTTCCCCCAAAAGACCTACTTCCCCCCAAGAGAGCTAGAACTAGTATCTGAGGCGCTTTTGTCATGATTAAGACCCACATGTGCCCTCTTGCAGTTCTTTCAATGAACAACATCACAAGGCAAGAAAACCAAATAGAATTTGTTTTAGAATTTTGTTTCTTTTTTATGTAAATTTCTATCTCTAATGAGCAATGATATCTAGTAAGTAATGCATCTCCAAGGGGAGGTGTTAGGATAAAGGCAAGAGCTGTCCCCTCTTCTGATGATAACGAGAAGGAGTAATGTGAGAAAAACCATGTTGGCTTCTACACTGGGAATCTCCTGCCATCACCCAAGTAGCCAGTTATGATGTCATTGAGCTCAGGGCTGGCTTCACATTTCTGACTGATGTTTCTCTCCTTCTCTCAACCAGTTAGAGCTGAAACCTCAAGGACGAATGCTAATGAATGCAAGATACTTTCTGGAAATGAGTGGCAAGTGACATTTCTTCTTCCTGTGTGGGGGTGAGGAGGGCATGGCTTTCTTCAAGTACAACTTATTTTACTTTTGCAATGATCATAGAAAAGAATGAAGAGGAAAAGGAAACATAAGGAATTTTATTAAAATTTCCAGTGGTGCTCAGGCATGAACTGAAAACAACTATCCAGACCAGATAAACATAGAATAAATACAAAAATAAGTATCATATGAATATAAAACATTTACAGCATTTTCATAATATATGAATTCATATGCCTAGTGCTTTTATAATCTATCTTTATTTAAGTTTAGAGATTTAATGCAAGTATAAATGGCTGTCTTTATGTGTTGCTATGGGTGGATATAATGTTTGTATATGATAGTGTTCTACAAAAAGCTATCACAGTAGAATACAAAATAAGAAACCAATAATATTTTCCATAAAACTAGTGGTAAAATGTTAATGCTTAAAGTTAGTCACCTCAAATTCTTTTAGGAACAAGGAAGGGTAAAAAAGGAAAATAATGCATTGCAAAAGAGTTTTGGTTTCATGTCACACACAGTCTTTGATCACAGAGGTTAAATATACAAGCACAGACTGCTAGGTACCAGTAACAGCCTGTCTGTGCTACTTAAATGAATCAAATGCTATTCTTCATGAAATCCCAAACCTTGGAATGAACTGGGAACTTATTGATGATAAACTGATTTTGTATATTTCATTAACTAGTCTTATCTACAGATTGAGTATTCCTTATCCAAAATGATTGAGACCAGAAGTGTTTCAAGTTGGGATTATTATGGATTTTGAGATATTTGCATATCTGAATGAGATATCTCAAGGATGGAAACACAAGTCTAAACAGGAAATTCTTTTATGCCTCATATACAATTTACACACATAGCCTGTATTTTATATAATCTTTTTAATAATATTGTGCATGATACAGATTCATAGAATGGAATTTTCCACATGGTCCATCTTATCAATGATCGAAAAGTTTCAGGTTTTGAAATATTTGGGATTTTATATTTTTGGATTAGAAATTCTCAGCCTGTACCAATAAAAAATAAGTTTTAGTTCAAAGATTTATAGTGCCTTTTCCAAATACATATAATTCTTTATATGTCCAGACTCAAAAGAATACATTGGAAAGAACAATACTACAAGACAATCGGGGTAAATTTGAATACCCACTGGGTATTTGATGATATCAAGGCATGATTGTTATTTTTTAGGTGTGATATGATATTATGGTTATTATGGGTTTTTTAATCTTCCTTTTTTATAGTTATATGCTGAAATGCTATAGATTCATTTCAAAATAACCCATTGCACAGGTAGGAGATGGACAGGGATCTGTTGAAAGAGAGTGGCCCTGAATTGATCACTGTTGAAGCTGGAGAATTGAAAACCACCTATAGAAGTTGTTGTGCATAATATGAAATTCTCTACAATAAAGTTTCTTTAAAAAAGAAATTTAAAAACTACTGAGGAGGAAAAACTTTTCTCCCCACCACCCACCCCAGCCCCTCGGACTCTGAAGATATAGAGTGAATGTAATGACACTGTTTTTGAGTTGGCTAAATGAGATAGAGTGATCATGGTGTACCTGAATGACTATTTGCGTAATAAGTGAAAGTACAGAAATAAATACCAATAACATTTAATTCCTTGAATAGAAGAAAGCCTACACTTCCCCCTTAGTTCAAAACAGAGCCCAGTGTAAAGTGGAAAAAAGTCCTCCATTGGACTGAAAGTAATTTTGGTAAATAATTTACAGATTCCTGCTTGGAGATGCAATTGCATGAACATTCCTCCTGTTATTACAGAACTTCAGTGTTCTATTAGAATGAAAGAAGCAAATTCAGGTGGGGCAAAAACAACAATATTTTATGAACAATAATCACACAAACCCAGAAACATTTTTTAAGAATAAGATTTGATAATATTTAAATTTTTTTGTATCTAGGCTCAAATTGAGACACTATCTCCAAATTTTTTGTTTACCAGAAAAGTATAATTTTTAACAACCAATATTATAGAATTACTAATTAGATAATCCCTTGTTTATAACAAGATAAAACATATACGATGTCATTCTCTTTTAAGAATGCTTGTTTTTATGTCTAAGAAATAGTTTTCTGGATTGGGATGTACCTCGGTGGAGTGGGCTTGCCTAGCATGAGCAAGCCCTAGGTTCAATCCCCAGTACCAAAATAAGATAAAATAAGTATAAGAAAGAGTTTTCTAAAGAATTCAGATCTTACACTCAGGGAATGTAAACCCAGATTAGAAAAGTGGTGCAGATTAAACCATTATATAATTATATCCCAAATTGTTTAAGTACAGATTAACCAAGAGATCAGTATAGGTTGCCTTCATTCCGGAAAGTTCTGAAGAATTAGGAAGAAGCAGAATTGAGATTTTTCAAAGAAGGAAGAAATCCTTCTATGAGGGAAAAAAAAAAGTGAAGATTTGAGCAAAATATGACATGGATAGGGAGGTTGGAAGAAACCAGCCTTGGTAGACCAGTTGGCCCTTTCAAAATCAGCAGGAAGTCTCAACCCTGAGGTTGGTGGGCTTGAGAGAGTAGTGCATAGATTGAGCCATGCTCAGTGGGAAGAGTATACTTTCTCTTTTTTAAAGAATTAAACATTTGGGGCCTATAAAATTTTCTTCATGCTCTGGAAAAGTGGTAAGCATCCAGTCTAGGGGTTTGGCTATAGATAGAAAATAAAAAAGTCGAAAAGAATAAAAGATAGCAGCAAGATTTCATGGCAGTGTCGATCAAAGGGAACACCTATTGTAGGCACAGAATTTTGTTGCTTGATAATTATTTTAAAATGAAAGTTGAATGAAGAGGAAATGTTGAAGATATTTCTTAAAGTAGCTAGACTGGGAAAATGATGATAGGACTGGTGAAGACTGGGGTACAGAAGGAAAAGGCAAACAAGTTGGGGATAAAGAACTTAGACATTTAAGATAATGCTTCAGCTCTCCACACAGACCATTCCAGTCTTGCTTTTTAAAAATCTCTCTTTTTTTAATTTCTAAACTAGAATCACTTTTTCTCTACTTTAACTCAGTGACCCTTAGTTTAATCTCTCATTCACCAAGCCTAACTTACTCTCATCCTAGTTTCAAATAAAATAACCCACATTACCTAGCCTTAAAATATTAGGCAAAATATTATGACCCATCTGCAGAACTATTTAGAGGATCATCTGGAATTCTCTGTGTCTAGGAATTGAGGGTTGCCATAAAAAAGACCTGTGAACCACTGTAGGGAAGATGTGAGTCCTAAAATGTGTTTTGAGACTTGGCTGGATTCCTGGGGAAAGGCCTCCACCTACATAGCCCTCCGTCTACCAAGAGTTTTCTGGCCCAAACACTGTTAGAATGGGACTTTGGCAGGGATATTGAAGTGCATTGTCAGATCTCTGTCACTGCTGAGCCAGAATGGAAGTACTTTAGTTTCCATATTGTTAACTCTGTATACTTTTGAAATATAATGAACCCCTTATTCTCACTAATTTTCAATTTGTGTACATATACAAATAGAATAAATAAAGTAAATGATCCCAAATCCTCAAGCTATTATAAAATTATGATTCTAGGCATTATAATCATTCATTTTGTGATGCTTATTTTAGTGATGGTGTGTTTTTGCTATTTCTTTACTGCTCACCCTGTCATTCTCTCTCACCTGCTGGAGTGTTTTCTGTGCTCTTTAACCACCACTGCCATTTGGTGTTCTTTGGTCTCCTGAGCTTTCAGCAGGGACATACTGTATTCTCAGAATCCTACCATTTTAGAGCACTTCAGCCTTTGGGAAGATGTCACCTGGCAAGGGACACTGTAGACAGTGACTACACAAAGCAACTTCACCAATATCCATGAGCTCAGGATGAACTGAATATATAAGAATTTGATGGTTTGCTGTAGATAACCAGCTAATATACAGGATCATCAAAACATTTTAAAAAATCACATTAATTAATTTTCTGGCCTTTGCCACATTGACCACTGTAGACATACCTAGTTTATCAGATCAGAGTGGCCATTAGGAACTAGAACATAAACACCCTCCAAAAGTTATTTTGTCCTCACACAAAAGGCTGAACAGCTCCCTTTGGTCTATTGTAACCTTGGTATTTGTCGAATATTTGTCAATCCCTGTGACCAGAATATGTGGCAAGAACAACTTAGGGAAAGAAAAGTGTATTTGGGCTCTCAATTTCAGGGTCTCAGTCCATGGCTGAACAGCTCCCTAGCTTTGGGCCCAAAGGAAGGCAAAACATCATGGCAGAAGGGTGTGGTAGAGGAAAGCTGTTCAACTAATGGCAGCCAGCAAGTGGGTACAGGAGAGAGAGAGAGAAAGAGAGAATGAAGAGCCAAGGACAAGATATAGTTTGAGGGCATACCTCAGTGACATACCTCCTCCAGCCACTCAGTGCCTGCCTAGTCCATTCAAATTATTAATCTATCAAATGGATTAATCCACTGATTAGGTTCCAATTTTTATAATCTAATCATTTCACCTCTGAATATTCCCTTACTAATACATGAGCTTTTCAGGGGATAATTAATATCCAAAGCATAACACCTTGTCTATAAACAGGTGTGAAGTATCCTGGCCCTTCAGAAATGCTGCTCCCAAGTTCTGTCAGTAACCCCATAGTTCTTCAGAATTATAGACGGACTTGAAAGTTCCAGTTTCTTGTTTTAAAAAATGAAAGATAGCTCAACATAATCAAAGAGCAGTGAAGGACAAAGCCACCATTCCAACTTCACTGTGATCCTCCAATAACTCACGGGGTGATGTTTCTGTATTATAGAAAGCCTAGTATTTAACCTGTCTTAATATGTACCTGGGGTTTTATTAGTACAGGTGTCCATGTTTGTCCACTTCTGTTCCTCACCCAGTTCCCGCCCTCCCCACTTACCTATGCCCTTCATAGAGCAAAAATTTCACTTTGTCCCCTCTTCTCTCTCTACAGACACAAAAGACATGAGTGAATTTGAGGCTGAAGGCTTCTTTGCTCTGCATCACCGCCGAGGAGCCATCAAACAGGCCAAAGTCCACCATGTCAAGTGCCACGAATTCATTGCCACCTTTTTCCCACAACCCACGTTTTGCTCTGTCTGCCACGAATTTGTCTGGTAGAGTAACCCCACATTTAATTCCAAGCTTTACATTCTGTTGCATCCTCTGAATCCACCAGGCTTGTTGTGCCTGCTTTGCTATAGGGGCATGAGTGGGAGCAAGTCCTGAATGAGAGCCGCTGGGGATCCTGCCGAGCAAGGGCCACTCAGGCGAAAGTCCCTAGTTTCTGACTGAATGAGAGGCTTCTGGGGGAAAGACAGAAGGAACAGAAGAGGGTGGTATCTTTGTTGTGAGCAGTTTTCCAGCTTTGACAAACCTCTGCTACTTCAAAAGCCCAGCGCCACTGGTGCTGTCTGCAACAGGCAGCTCTTTCCCATGGCAACGAATGCTGTGACTGCTTATGTGGCTCTTGGGTGTCTTAACAGCCTCCGAGAGCAGTTTAAGCCCCAGTAACCACATGGGAAAGGCTACGGTAGAGTGGAAACTTGACTCCTATCTGTGTTCTCAGCATCTGTGCCTATTAAGGGATGCTCTTCCCTTCGGGCTACTGCAGAATCTGTTAATGCACAAGTCCTGCTTAACTGGGGCACCCAAAGGTCAAACAGATTGGGGCAGATTTTCATGAGCCTGTTTTCCTCTAATCACTTGAACTTCCTTCCTTTCTGATAATGAGTGCTACTCAGGAATCAGCCTTAATGTCAAGTTTTGTTAGTTGCCTATATTCTCAGACACTCAGAAAGAGGAAATAAAATGTGTTACAGCTGTCTTTGTTCATCTATATACAAACAAAAACAACAGATGAGTGAAGCAATAAGTAAGGTGAGATAATGATTTTAAGTATAAGACATAGCAATTGGCTAATAGGATCCTGTGATGCATTTTGATCAAGCATGGTAATCTCCACATTTGCTTGTAAGATACAAAAATGAAGGAAATTACCTGTTCCTTTTTCATTGAATTATCAAACTTTTAACAAAGCAGCTTAAAATAAAATAAAAAAAATCACTCTTGGCAAATGGTTCACCAGGGCTACAAATCAGAGAAAATGCTCTATGACCTTGGGAAACCATGTGCTCTCATTGGCCTCTGAAATGTTTCTGATGCTGATATTGATGAGAACATCCAAATAAGTCAGTCGTGTGCTTTATTACAGGGGTCTGAACAAACAGGGCTACCAGTGTCGACGTAAGTAAGAAGGATTTCTCTTGTACTGTCGCTGTTCATTTTATTGAATTGCTCTTTGACATTTGAAAATCTTATGCTGTGATTATTTATTTTCAGAATGTAATGCAGCAATTCACAAGAAGTGTATTGATAAAGTAATAGCTAAGTGCACAGGATCAGCTATCAATAGCCGAGAAACCATGGTATGTACGTCTGACGCATCATGATTTTATCCTGACACTAAATTTTACAGCCTGCTAATTCTTTTTGATAATTCCTAAACTTGAATCCTTAAGCCTAGCAATGAACATCAATCTCTCTAAAACATTTTCCTCTTCAATAATGAGATTTTTTACCAAAACTAGGAAAGAACAGGAAAAACATAATAAGAATTTTAATTTCCAGAAAAAAAATTAATAAAATGTGCCCCAAAGCATAGTTTTAATTATGCAAAAACAACCCTTGTGGCATCTATAGCTAGAAGTGACAGTTAATAATTAAATAAAGACAAATGATTATAAAATATAGACATATGGTTAGCAAGAGATGGTAAGAGAAGGACAGTTATGATGAGAAATAAATATTTCTTTCAGAATAAACTTTGAGGTATGGTCTGAAGACAAGTTAGATATTTATATCATGGAGAAGGAAACCTGAGTTAGAAAGTTAAATAGCCCATTTTTATGAAATATGTTGACTTCCTTCATCTACTCCATTCTTCTTCATTCATTGCTTATTGAATATCTCATATGTGGAAGGTATTACGCTATGTATGATGTACAGCACGGCCATGGTGCTGCCCTTAGGGACTTCCTGCAAAATTGGAGAAACATATAATAAACGAGCTATCCTAGTTTCCATTTATGTTAAGTGCTATGGAGATAGCAAACAAGATACATGGATGGAAAGCAACTAGGTGGCCCGCTTGGACTGAGTGCTCAGTAAACTCCCCCAGAGAGGGAATATCTAAACTGAGAGCTGATAGGAGCCCATTGTGTGAACAGCAGGAGGAAGGCTCCAGACAGACTGGTTGATCCTGCAGAGGAAGAGTCCAGCATATTCTAGAAACTGAAATGAAATCAGTCAGTATGGCTAGAGTTGCAAGGCCCAGAGAGAATGGAATACAAAGTTGGGGGACTTGGAAGGACCTAGCATGTGGGGCTTCTTTGGACTCTGGACAAGTGATTGACTGTCATGTGACGTGTCCTAGGAGTCCGTGTTGTGAAGCACAGGGGAGATATGCGTTGGGATATGAAGGTCAGACCGGAGGAGATTGGATGAGTCACACTGTGTGGAGGTGGGAAGTTGCACCAGCATGGTGACCACAAAGATAGAGGAAAAGTGAGAAGAGTATTAGGTGATTATATGGAGATAATAGAAATGCTGGATTTGCCCAAGGAGTGGGTGAAGGATACAAGCATGATGCCCGAGGTCTGGCTTCTGCTTGAGGTGGAGCAATAGAACCACGGCAGTGTGGATAAGAACCAAAGGAGCAATCGAGAAGAGTAATGAATATTTCCATTTTGGACACAGTGCATCTGAGGTTCCTGTGGACATTTAGGTGGACATATCAGATGGGCTTTTTTTATTAGCTTGGGATTCACATGAGTCCACCTCCCTAAGTCTGTGAGTGACTATCACATCAGCAGGATGTAAAGCTGCCTAAGAGATCACCTAGTGAGGGGATAGAGAGAAGAGGGCTCTGCAAAGGAATTTAGATATTTATAGAGATATTTATATATATATATATATAGAGAGAGAGAGAGAGAGAGAGAGAGAGAACGAGTTCAGAGAGAATTTCTCTTACCTTCTGAGTGTATGAAATTACAGAGCCCAAAAGAAAAGGGGGCAGCTGTGTTCTATGCAGTTAAGATGTTGAAAAAATTAAGGGTCAAGTGGTAATCCACATCTGGTCACGTGGATCAGAGAAATGTCGAAGTGTTGTGGAGGTGTTCACCCAACTGACTGTGTTGGGGGTGACTGGAAGATGATGACATGGAAACAATCATGCTATAATATTATCATTATCAAGATTGCTCACCATCCAGTAGCTGAGAGGAAGTGAGACGGAAGATAATTCCATGGCTAGGGAGAGATGGATGAAGCTGGAGAGAGATGGACAAGCAAAGCAGTCAAGTCTGCTTGAGAGAAGAAAAGGGGTCCCAGCCCATGTGGAGACGGGTCTCTGATGGACAGAGGGAAACATCACCAATTTGAACAGAAAGGGAGTCGGACAAGGTTTCTGCCAATGAGGGTAGATTTGCAGAGTAGTTGGTGGATAGACAGGGAGCCCCCCATAAGACCCTTGTGTCCTCAGTGGAGTCTGAGGGTGGAGGGAGGAAGAGGAGGAGGCAACATGTGGATTTGAAGAAACTAATCATCCTAGAGACGAGAAAGCAAGACAATTAGACCAAAACAGGGTTGGAGAGCAGAGCTGAGAGTCCATGAGTTTGACAGCGTCAACCTTCCCTGATGTCTCATTTTCTCCAGCAGAGCAGCAAGCACAGAGAAGACAAATTGAATTTTTCCAGAAAGAATTTCCTCTAAAATTTAGAGCTAGAAGGGAATGATCCCATATGAGCAAATAATTTTGCTAAGGCTCAAAAGATTCATTGGTCCATGTTCATCTGTAAGTGGCAGAGCAGGGACTAAAATTTACATCTCAATCTCCCAGAACGTGTTTTTGCGTGATCCAATCAGTTTGCTACTACCCACCCCACCCACACACCCCCCACACACACACCCCTATTCCCTTTACTTCCTGTCTTTGGCTTCTCTAGAAAGTCTCAAATCATGAGCATCACTGTTAACCCCAATGACTCACGAATCCCTGGGGCAACATAAACTATTCAGCATATGAAGAACAGGTGTGAAAACACTGTGCCCAGCAGGCCCTCACGCTGTCAGCCCCTGCTTCCGCCAGAGGAGCGTTTATAAGAACCCTCCAAGCGAAGCACTAGTTCTGGACTGAAAAAGCAAAGTCAATATTTATATTAAAACAGGAAGGGCAGGTTCCTTTGTTTAAATGGAAGCATCATTTCCTTACTTCCATTTAGATAAATAACCTCCCTCCCCTCTTACTGAAATGATCCCATCTGTGCTGATGCTTCAGATGTCATCTGTGGGTCCCCACAAGAGCAGATGCAAGCTTGCCCCTGGCCTGGAAAACCCACCGCTCTCTGCCTTCTTCCAACAGGACTGGAAGGTCTGACTTGGTGGCTAAAAGGCACATGGGGCCTGTGGTATCTTCACAGTCACTGTTAGTTATGCTAAAGCATCTTCGAGGATGTCGAAAGTTAGGGCCCAAGAACACATGTGTGGTCTCACCTTCTGCCTTTCTTTCAGTTTCACAAGGAGAGATTCAAGATTGACATGCCACACAGATTTAAAGTCTACAACTACAAGAGCCCTACCTTCTGTGAGCACTGTGGGACTCTGCTGTGGGGACTTGCAAGGCAAGGCCTCAAGTGTGATGGTGAGTCCCAGCAGGAGGGAGCTGAGGCAGATGACTGACTTCCGCACGGGACCTGCCAGGGCTGTGATCTGAGTGCCATCTTCCTGGGACAAGAGGCCCCTGCTGCTCTTTGCATTCCACCTTGCCACACTCTCATCTTTACATTCCAAGAAACACACACAACAGCTCAGGTTCAAGGTCAAGGCTTCTGGCCCCAGGGATTTATGTTATACCACAGCCCTGGGGAAAAATGAAGATAGCATTTCTCCTCTGACTGATCCTTCTACCAAAAACTCTACTTCACCCCAACTGATCCCCTGCTGTCTCCTTGTGGGTTCCGGACTGAGCCAGGCTAATTCCAGCAGGTCTAGTGAGATTCCATCTGTCATGCCACCAAGGCACAAACCCAGGCATCCATTTGGCTAATGCATGGTCCTGCACAGAGGAACTCCTCTTGAGTTACCCCTAAGCCACTGCTGTGAACTCCAAGTGCCCAGCCAGAGGTAGTCACAGGTAGTCAAACCCCTTCATAACTCCAAAATGCCACTTAGGTCCTTTTCTCTATACACATATTCAAGAATACATGGATATGCAAAATATTATATAGTAAATCATGGAAGAGTCCATAGGTGAAAAACAATGTCCCATTATCCCAACTGTTTAAACAGAAACCTGAATCATCTCATGCTCAATGGCCCATCTCAAGGTGAGGTTTCATCTCGAGGGAGCTTGAGCACCCACTTGCTGGGGCACGGCTGGTCTGGCAGGCTGACCACAGAGTTTAGAACCTCCCCAGAGATTCCTTGGCATTACTTCACACTGGCACCCTCTGCTCGGTTCTGTTCTTTTTCTCTTACATTCTTTCCTTTCCATTCTATTCCTTCCCCACTCTCTCCTCCCACCTTCATTTCAAGTAGCTCCCCTCCCTCATTTCTTATACCCCCTCTCCTCTCCCCTTTCCTCCCCTCCCCTTTCCTTCCCCATTTCTTTTCCATTCTTGCTTTTAGTGCCCCCTGAACTGTTTCTTCCTCTCTGTTCACCTCCACAGGCCCTCATCTTCATCCCTCTACTTCTCCAGTTCTTTGTTCCTCCTTCTTTACCTCATCCTTCTCTTGCTTCTTTAGAGTACGTCTTCTTAAGCAGGACTCCCTTTAGCCTTTATCCTGTCTTCTCCCCCTCCATATTAACTCCCATGAAGATAGTCATCAAAAGGAACTATTTGCGCCCACAGAGATCCAGTAACCACCTGCTAGGTTAGTAACAAAGATTTATGACGTTACAGAGGGAGCAATGGCCTTTCTTCATGGCCATGCCCATCTGGGACAAGCATGGACCTAAGCTACAATTTTAAGGAGCCAAGTACCAATCTCAGTTTTACCATCTCACCTTGCATTGCATTGATGAGTAAGAAGATGGTGGCTGGGCCACCCAAGTCAAACCCTGACACCTCCAAAACAGGTCCAATGCAGACACGTTCACAATGCAGAATTTGGAGCACCACCATAAAAGCTATCTTAACCAAATTAAAGATTTTAATATTTTTATAAAAGATTTTGCTTCAGATGGATTTCTGTGGCTATATCTATGCATATGCCCTGGGACTAATAATAGTTTGTAGTTTTTTAAAATTTTTATTTGTTTTATGGTACACTATCAGAGGAAGTGTGAGCTAGTTAAAACTCAAGGTGAGAAAGGCCACAATGTTACCTACATTTTTAGAGTAGATATCCATGGAATGGAATAATAGTAAAGATGCAAGAGAAGTTGTATTTGTTGAACACCCACTCGATAGCAATTACTGTGCTAAGCTTTTGGCGTGAGAATGTTCCAAAAAGCAGATATGATTAACATTTGCATGATTTTATAGGTCCCATTGCCTAATTCTATTGTAAAAACCTCCTACTTAGACACTTTTGCAAAACCAAATAGTATGTGAGACTAGAGTTCTATCAGCTGGAGTTTGTAAATATATATATATATATATATATATATATATATGTGTGTGTGTGTGTGTGTGTGTGTGTGTGTGTGTGTGTGTGTGAGAGAGAGAGAGAGATTTTTCAAAAGCAAAATCTGAGTTTTCTAAAACCAATAACATCATGCAATATTTGTCTTTACACATACTCAAAAGTGCTCCTGTGCAGGCACACGCAGGCATGCAGGCACACACACACACTCCAAGAAGGATCACATGGTCAGAAAGTGGAAGTTGGTCCTTTATGGTGCTGCTTTTAGGACTCATGATTCAGAATACTCATGAGGTCTCAGAGCTGGACATCTATATAGAACCTTAGGTCTGTGCCTTGTACCTACTAGAAGCCTTTGCAGAGCAGGTGATTTGTGTAGAGTCAGGTCGCACAGTGTCTACTCCTGCAGCTGCAACCAACACATGCTATCCTCCCCACAAGAGATCATATATTTCCCACTTCTTTCCTTTTCTATGGGACTTATAAAGATGAAGCAAAACACTGGTCCCTCTTCTGGAGCTACCTTCAGTAACTATCATAGACTTAAATATAAGCCATTAACTCATGTGTATAAGAAATACAACGTTGACCTTGAAATCCACTTAAGTAGGATTCAATAATTATTGGGGTCCTATGCCCTTCCTGTCATGGCACAAGACTTGGGGATTCATGTACATAGGAACCTGAAAACTAGGTAATGGCCTTAACACCCAGCTATTACAGTTGATATCCCCATCCAAGCCCACAGTGACGAAGCTTGTGGTTTCATGGAGGGTTTGTGATTTTGTCAAAGATTAGGTTGTAATGCTTGGGCCCAGTCCTTCTGGGTGCACTCCCTAGGTGCCACCTCCTTTGGCATTGCGAGCCAGCAAACAGTATGTCTTTGCTCCTGGATCTACAGTTACTTCCCCTTCCCATCCCAAGCCATAGAGAAGTGTGGGGACACCTGCCTTTTATAGTCTCTTTCCCTCCCAGACACTTGCCCAGGCTCCTCCTTCTCAGAGATACTGGCCAGTAGCCTTCAGTCCCCACTCACTCAAATCCTAAGACAAGGAATGACATGATATAGCCTGGCTTCCTGCCAGAAGTGGCCCAACAAGAAGAGGGAGGGGGAACCAGAGAAGGAAACCCATTTGAGGAGTAAAAGAAACCCCAAATAATATTTCACCAACTTGCCTGCCATAATTAGAAAGCGAAATGATCGCACTGGAGACCTCATCTGTGGGTTGATTTCTTCTAACCAGGTCGGGTTAGCTTTGGACATCCTTAAAACTCAGCCTTTCTTCACCTTGGTTCTGGCCATAGGGTGGAATTTTCTGAGCTCTCAGAAGGCCTTTTGATCAAAGTATAGAAGCTCCTGGACCCTAGAAAAATGACATCCTGAGGACAGGATCATAAGGAGGATACTGTGCAGGGCCTGGCAGAGGTGGACAGGGGACATGAACAGGAGATGGGAAGAGGCACTTTGACTTCATTAAGTCCTTTTGCCAGGCTCTAGGGATGTCAAACAGTGTGGCTTCCTGGAGTCCTGTGTTTCTATAGAAAACTGCTTTCTAGTATCCCCAGGGAATAAGATGACAAGTAAAAGGACCTTAAGACTTAAATGTTCCAACCTTTTTGGTTATTTTTTGTTCCAAGGAAAGGACTTCACTTTAGTAGCCTCAAATGAATTTTAGAGATAAATAAAATGAAAAAAAAAGAGAGATAAATAAAATGCCTATGTTTTCCTGTGAGTGACCTGAAGTCCATTGGGCCCCTGCCCAACCATGCCCTCAGTTCTGTTTACAGGAGATGCAGTCATCCTGGCTGTTCCCCACTAGCCAGGACTCAGAGCTGTGTCCCCCGCCCCATCAGCTCCTGGTCACCAAGTTTCATAGTTCATTAACCACACCTCTCCCTGATGGGAGCACATGGTCTCTGGCATTTTTCCTCTTCCCACTCCCACCGTTAATCCACACACACACACACACACACACACACACACACACACACACATACCCCTTCTCTCAGTTTCCATTGTACAGGCTGAGGCTGCCTAGAGGACAGAGAAACTCCACACAGTCCAGCTAGAAAAGGGCTGCACCAGCTCAGACTGGACCTGGTACAGGGCAGACAGTTCTCCTTCAGCATTTCACATGAATGTCAGGGAGAACCAATGTCAATTTGTGCCTGGAGCTGTGTTCCTGACCACTCACCTTGTTCCCTAGTGACTGACCCATTCCCTGGTCAGTTATTTCCCTCCTGCTCACTGTCCACTTTCTTCCTTTCAGCATGTGGCATGAATGTCCATCACCGATGCCAGACAAAGGTCGCCAACCTCTGTGGTATCAATCAGAAGCTAATGGCTGAAGCACTGGCAATGATTGAGAGCACCCAACAGGTGTGGAGTTGATAATCTCCCCCACATCAGCTCCCATCCTCTGCTTTCTGACCTATAGCCACTCTGCAGGACTTTGTGGAATGTATTTCTTTATTATTATTATTATTATTATTATTATTATTATTATTATTTGTTCTTTTTAGATATTCATGACCATAGAATGTATTTTGACATTATCTACATACATGGAGTATAATTTCCCATTCTCATGGTTGTACATGTTGTGGAGTTCCATTGGTCATGTATTCATATATGAACATAAGAAAGTTATGTCCAATTCATTCTACTGTCTTTTGTGGAATGTATTTCTGAAAATTGCTTTACCCCTAACTTCCATCTCCATGACCATATCGCCCCCTTTAGATAGTTCATGCATTTATATTGTGTGGATCTTTATAAGATCTTAATTTTTTTTTCTTGAAAAGAGCAGGAACAGAAACAAATTCATTAAAATTATTGAGCATTGATCACCAGCTTTATACCTACATATTAGGATTATGTAATAGCCTGAAAGAAAATACTTATTTACTAGAATCATCTGTAGGATTTTCTCAGAGCACTGAGTCCAGGACAATTTTTGCCTTGTCACCTACTCCTTGGCTTCACTGAATTTCCTTGTCTTAGAACAAACTCTGCAACACAAAGCATTGACTCTGTATGATTTTTTCCATTGATCTCTTCTTATGTGTCATGGAGTGATGTAGAGAGCATGGGTGATTCCAGTTAGATCCCAGAGTGAAGAAGCTATGTACATTCTGCTAGTGTGTTAAATAAGCTCTCACACAATAAGGAATCCTAAAAGACCATTGAAGGGAGGAAGACTTTTGGCTGTCCTGTGCATTAAGAAATCTCACGTGACTTTGGTCTTCATAGACAGCCATCTCAACAACTGTGGGTGAGTGGGTGGCCTGACTCTCTGTTTGTAATCTAGGCTCGCTGCTTAAGAGATTCAGAACACATCTTCAGAGAAGGTCCAGTTGAAATTGGTCTCCCATCTTCCATCAAAAATGAAGCAAAGCCTCCATATTTACCAACACCCGGAAAAAGAGGTAGTTGTTCTGGTGATCTTCTATCCCATATTGATAACTTATCTTCATTAACCTTAACCTGCACTCTCGGATTGAAGTTGCTCAGTTTACCAGGTCTGATAGGGGATCCTTTTCTTTGTAAAGATTACAGACCTATCCACCAATGTTCCTGCTTCTTAGAAATGAAACCAAAATTCACCTCACCAGGATACCTTTGTGAGGAGGTGAGAGTTAGGGGGAAAATGGGATAGATCTGGAAGAAACAACTATAAATATTTCCTTAGGATTCTAGAATGTTCCTTTCAGTCAGTGTCAAGTGGTTGTACAGAAATAAAATATACGGTGAAGCATAATGGTGAAAATATCACAGATGTTTTTATTTTGTGTCCAGAAATTCTTCTGTGATGCGTAAGGGTAGAAAAGAAAAGAAGTCCAGGCCCAAAGCCCTTAACATTTATGTTATTTTGAAAGTTTATGCAGCCTGCCTTCAAAGGTAGCTCATGAGAGGATACCACCACATGACCTAAATAGTTTCAGCATACATTATAAAAGATTTTCCTTGGACTTGAGGGATAATATGAAAGAATACTTTAAAGTAATGTTAATGTTTCCAAAGGAGTTCTTCTACACTTCTTCTGTTATGGAGTAGGGACTAAATAGATATTAAAAAAAAGTTAAAGAAAAGTTTGAATTTGATTTAGGAAGGATCTACAAGCAGTCAACTAGACCATATCCCAGGGATGATCAATGTAAGCACCATCTTGACTTGAAGACTGCAAGAAATGGTGCAGATCAGGTCTTCACTAATCTGCTAAATTCCATTCTCTCTTCCTTCACTTTGATATACAGAACTTGATGCCACTATGCCTGTGCGCCACCTAAACAATTAAGAATCATTGTTCCTCAAATTCCATTAAAATCCCTATTTGTCCATGATTTGACACTATTAACAGCTTGCTAATTTTGCATATGTGGTATTCTGTTGGAATAATTAATTCGAACCATTTTCTGGTCCATTGTCTAGGTAAAGAGACAGTCCAAGTCCCAATTGCCAGCCTCACTGTCACACAGAGAGTTACTAAAACTGCCTGAATTGTAGAAGCCCCCCTTCTGCTCCCCACCCAGTAATTGTGGACAGAGCCTCAGAATGGGAAGTGGAAGAGAAAGCAGGTGCCCTAAGTAACTGCAGGGACCCCCTATGACTCCATGTTCACCCTATCCACTGGCTTGCCGTTTTCAGAGCCTCAGGGAATCTCCTGGGAGTCTCCATTGGATGGGACGGAGAAAATATGCCATCATCCAGAACCTGAACTGAACACAGAAAGACCATCTCTGCATATAAAACTCAAAATTGAGGATTTTATCTTGCACAAAATGTTGGGGAAAGGAAGTTTTGGCAAGGTATGCTACCCTACTGTGGAATTCCATACAACAGATTCCAGGGACCAAGGGACAGTGTTCCTGGTGGGTGGAACTAAACTCTTAGGACCCAGCAGTGTGTGGATGTGTGGAGAGAACGTTCCAGTATGTTGTGAGAGGAGATCTGTGAGTCAGTGGGGACCTGGGAGCACTAGGGCAATGACAAACTGCTTCCCAGGGGTCTTTGTCCCAAAGACCACTTTGCTTTGAGGTTACACACCCCAGATGCTTGTGAGTTTGAGGTCTTTGAGCACCAAAGAAATACAAAGGCTCTTTGACCACTTCTTGTGTTACGTGGCTTTTTTATTTGTTTTGTTTTTTTTTTTTTCTCTATTGCTTCTTCCTCCAGCCTAGAGTGTTGCTTTGCTTAGTATGTGATTTTTTTCTCTCTCCCAAATGTCTTCAGGCTTGTATTATTTTACTCAAGTTGATGTAATAAAATAGCACAGACCAGGCAACTTAAACAATAGAAACGTATTCTCTCAGAGTTCTGGAGGCTGATAATCCAAGATCAAGGTATTGGCAGGGTTGTTTCTTCCAAGACCTCTCTTTGACTTGTAGTGACTGTTTTTTTCCCTGAGTCTTCACATCATTTTCCCTCTGTGCCTTTGGTGTCCACGTTTCCTCTTCTCAAATGAAAGTCAGTTATATTGGAGTAGAGTTTACCTAATGACCTCATTTAACCTTAATTTCCTCCTTAACTGTCCTATCTCAAAATAAGATTAAATTCTGATGTCTAGTAGGGGTCAAGAATTTGTAACAGGAATGGGAAGAAGAGAAAGGAACCATTGAGCCCATAACTAGGCTGAAGTCCCTCTTCATGTCCTTCCTAGGGTTATGGATTATCTCTCACAAAGGATAAGTAGAGGAGGAGGAGGAAAAGAGAAGGAGGAAAAATGGAAGAGGAGGAGGAGGAACAAGACGTAATTTGAAACTTTTAATTTGACTATCAATGTAATTTGAAACTTTTAATTTGACTATCAGTAACAATTGAGAATTTTCAAGCTAGCAATTGTAAGGAGGGATGGTCACAGGACACAGAATTTTGGGTGATTTTAGATATTCAGGATATGTCATGTATTAATAAGACTCCTGGTTGCTTAATATTCTTGGATGCAACTCCTAGGAAAATTTTAACCAAGGACTAGTGTTTCGTGAATTTGTGTAGCCAAAGTCAGCACCTGCTCACCAGACTTTGGCAGGAAAATGTACCCAGTTTATTTAAAAATAAACAAACTAAACTGCATGGGAGCATTCACCGTAGCTGAATAATATTGTATTCTGCTAGGTTTGGGTTTAAACATAAAATACATTGTCTTTCAACAAAATCTACTCTGTTCTGCAAACTGTAGCTGGTATCCATGAGTTCTTTCAGTTCATTTCTGAAGTCATATGAACCACAACAGACTCATTTGGTGTTAATCTGGGTGTAATAGGCAATTTTACAGCCAGTCTTTATTATAATTTAGCAGCAATTAATGTGCAATTATAACCTGTTACCAAAAATTGAAAGCACATTGTATAGATGAAAATTACCTTTTCAGCTTCCTAGTTTATGGTTGGTTTTAGGATGTTTTACTAAAAGAAGCAATTACCAAAAGAGTACTTGAAATTGTTAATGAAATGTTTATCTTTCTTTGTTCCCTTGTGGATTGGTACATTTGAACAAGGTTAATAAGAAAGACATTAAGTTAAAATGCAAGTCTTAGAAAGTATCCCAAGGGATACCCTGCAAATCTGGGTATCCTTTCTCTACCTCTAAAGCTGGGTGCCTGATTTTCCAGTGGGACCCTGGGGCTCTGCACCCTAAGAGGACAAAAAGAGGAAACACTGATGCAAAATAAGACAGCCATCTTTCCCTTTCTTGCAACCCTGAGACTACTCCAAAACTTGTGTTTCCTCTGATTTTGTTTCTGTATGGAAAGTATGGTTCCTCACCAAAAAGTCAATCTCCGACCTCCATACTCATGTTCTTATTTTCTTTAAGCCCTGGAGAACAAACATCTGGTGTTCTGGGGCTGTAAACATCATTCATTTTCCTGAATTCTCATCTAAGCCCACCCCCTCTATCAAGCCAGCTACCACAAAGTCATGGGTCTGCACCATGTTATTTTAATATTCCAGACACTCGTTTTATCAGTTCTGGCTTAGCATCATTGACTTCAGCATTCCCTAAAAGTCAGCAAAAGAGACAAATGACAAGTGCTATTAATAACTCTCATTTAGAGAGAGTGTTTTTGTAGTTCACAAATTACTTTTCTGTGTGGTATCTTATTTGTATTCCACGGTAGTCCTGTACAATGGGGAATGCCACAATTGTTATCTCTTTCACAGGTTAGAATACTGAAGCCCCAGAGAGGTGAATTGCTTTGCCCATATTTCCACAACCAGCAAATGTCTGTGAAACAAAACCAGAGCCGGAGGTTTTTTAACCCAAATGCCATGTTCTTACGACTGCCAATAATTCTTTGCTTATTCGTGTGTAAATCTAAAGTTGTTGCAACTCTCCATTGCATGCCATCTGGTGTCCATTGACATAAAACATGTGAAATCAGGTGGAAAAAGCAGACTCTGGAGTTATCTCTTGCTCTGCGTAGTTCCACGAATTTGAGCAAGTTTAAGTGATTCTTTGAACTCAGTGTTTTTCGATTATCAATACCTGTCTTGCAATGTTAAAAGCTAAAAATTAAATTGGATAAGAAAATTAGATAGCACACGTAAAACATAGAGCAGACTGTCTGACACATAGTAGGTCCTGAGGTTTCTGTGTGACCAGATGACAGGGTATTTGCTTCTGATGTACATATAGACTGTATCCCACAAGTTGTTTTTTTTTTTTTTTTTGCCTTTCAGAGCTGGCTGAGGGGAATAGCTTATTTGTGTGGATTCTCAGTGATGCTTCAAGTTCAGCCATTCTCTCCAGTATTCCACTTTTCTTCCTTCAATGTGTATTTGGTCTCTCAGTACCCACATTTGGGTTCCTGGATAGTCAGGCATTCTTTTTTAAATAGAATTTTTCAGGCACTGGGAATTGCCCATTTAATTGCCTAATAATTTTGTGAAACCTTTGGAAAGACACAAAGATAAAAATAAAACCATGATGCAGTATCCCTAAACTAGTGAGGTGGTCCATTGTGTCTCAGTAACACCCTATCAGGATGGATGGAAATTGGAGAAGGCCCCTCTTTTACTGTCTAACACAGGCCTCTCTTGGCACTTTGTTGTCTCTTCTTCAATGTGGAAATCCAAATTCTAAAGTAAAGTTCCTTCTTCCCCTTCCTTCTAGGTCTTCCTAGCGGAGTTCAAGAAAACCAATCAATTTTTTGCAATAAAAGCCTTAAAGAAGGATGTGGTTTTGATGGACGACGATGTTGAGTGTACCATGGTAGAAAAGAGAGTCCTATCCTTGGCCTGGGAGCATCCGTTTCTAACTCACATGTTCTGTACGTTCCAGACCAAGGTATGGTTTCTGCTCAGACACCTTCTTCCTCCTCCAGCCTGTCCCAAGGGTGATGCCTTGGTGGCCCCGTCACTTGGAGACATGGGGGAGTTGGTTCGTATTTATCTTACCTTTCAGTCAGCCTCTCACGCATCCATCCAGAAAAGTCTCATCTCTTTTAAACACTGTGGAAATATTACTTCTGATTTTTTAACATAGTCTGTTGGGAAAGGCCTTTCCTTCTGGATCTGTTTGTTGGTTCACTCATTTTTCTAGAATTTGCTCTAACATAACAACCAGGCTTCTAAACAGTCAGTAACCTGAAGGGGGTCATGTGACACTTGGTTCATCTACTGTGTGCATATTTAAAGAGACAAAAGTTGGAAAAGAGATTAAAGTGCATATGTTCTTGAGAATTTTCTCTTAAAGCCTGGCAGAGAAAGTGGCCATGGGACTCTCCTCCTGGTCTCCTTCTTCCTTACGAAATAACTTTAAATGATTTTTTTTTCTTGACTTCAAGATCATTGTAGAGAATTTGGAAAATGTTTATAAATTCAAAGAAAATTATTGATAAAAATCACCACTTGGATATAATCACCCTTAATACTTCAAAGTTTATCTTTCTACGTTTCTCCCTCTTTCCCATAGATTTCTTCAAATAAAAATGGCAACCCACCATAAATCCCTACCATTTAATAACTTGAGTTTTCAACACTTTCATTATATTCATTTCCTCACATCTGTGAATATCTTCTGTAACATAGTTTATCTAGTTAGAACACTTCTTAACTTTTTGTTCTGTTTTATTTTACTCTGATATAAATAACACTGGAAGGAACATCCTCAAGGATGTGCCTTCATACACAGGCATAATTTTATATCTCCTAAGTTTTCTACTCTTCCTTGCCTTATCCCTGTTCTACAGACCCTGGAATAATAAGCAGACCCATGTGGGACCCAGTAGCTAAGGTCTGAGAGCACAAAGGGTGGGATTTGTTTCCCTTTTTCTATTTCAAGTCATGAAACTGGGGCCTCTGAAGTGTCTTCAGCCACAGAAAGAATTAGTGGGAATTCAGTCCTGAGAAGTAGATGGATCTAGATTCCATCACCACTTCCCCACCCCCAGGAAATTTTCAACACATGTCTAATGAACAAATCAATGTATGATGCATACATCATAGAATAAGGAGAAACCAGACCATGACCAAGTGCTTCCTGAGCTCTGTGAAAGATACAGAAATATAGAATATAGTTCCTGACCACAAGAATGTCATACTCCAATAAGAGGCAGGACCAATACTTCTGAGAGTGTGAGTAATATTAAATCAGAGCGCAGACTGCAAGTACCAGAGCCAAGAGAAACAAGAAATCAGAACTTGAATAGGCAAAAAGGATGTTGGGCAGTGGATTGGAGGTGAGGGGTGGTCAGGAGGGAAAGCATGAAGTAATAAAGGGGTAGTGAGAAGCTGTGTAAGAGAAAGTAGCCTCCTTTCTTACAGCTAGGAGGAGACAGAATTTCTGGTAATGAGGGTTAGAGAGTTCCTAGTAGAAACTTCCTCCTGGTGATATAGATATCTGTTGGTCTAAGTGGTGTAGGTATGTTACCTGAAATCAAATTGATAAACCAGCCACCTTTCCTGGGCTGTATCCGAGATTTACTGTGCACCCAGGGAGTCACTTATGATCTCATTTTTCCTCTTGGAATTTTGTGAGGCTTGTAGCAAATGGCTAAATAAACTTTCAGACCAGGCTTCTAATCGAGTTTAAATTGACATCTTTTCCCTATATTTATATCTATAGATAGATAGATGATAGATTCATGATAGAGGGGTGTGTGTGTGTGTGTGTGTGTGTTTTGAAAGTATGGTTGTTTTCCTGTCTTATGGAGAAAGCTGTTAGGAACCCCACTTTGTAAAAAGAGTTATATTCCCTTCTCCTGCTTATCTATCAGAGCCTTGGGTGTGTTTATTTATTACCCTCTTAAGGGGGATGTTCCTACAATTCCATAAAGCTGTGAATCTTTAACAAGACCAGAGAAGTAAATACATCAGCAGAGTACATGCCATGAAAAAAAAAAAAAAAGTGGTTGAGAATGTGTACATCAAATGTAACTGTGACTGTCTCAGCACTTAGATTTCTAGGAATTGAATCCTTTAGAAAGAGATGAAAGCAAAGGGGGGGGGGGGGAAAGCCTGTGTTACACTTTGCCAAGGACCCTGAGTCATTGCTTTGGAGATGTCCTGATTCATTATTCAGGCATTGCATGTCAGACAGAATAACTGATGAAATACTCCGAGTGAATGTAAAAAGCAGCAATATTCTTAAGAGGACAGTCGCTTTTGCACACTAGCAAAAGACAGTAGATAAGATTAACCCTTTACTTCTCTAGGGACTTGTCACCTTTCAGAGAAAACATCTTGCCCACTTTCTGCCTCCAAAGAGCCCACCTGTTGAATATCAGAGTATTCAGGATGAGCTGAGGGAAGTTACTTGTTATTTATCAGGGCACATGGATTAAATCATTCATTTTTAAAGTTCACAGATGAGGGATGATGACCCGTGGAAGGAGGAAAATATGGGGAAGGAGTTTAGGAAGCTATAAAGATTGAAAGAGCTGTGGACTTGGAAGCCAAAGCTCATTCCCAACTCTGCTCATTCCCAGCTCTGGGCCCCCTCTTCTTTCCTGCTCAGGATACATAAGAGGAATCAAAATGCAGGGGGCAGGTGGGTGTAGACCAGCCACCCTGTGGGAAAACACAGCATTGGTGACACAGAAACTCAACCCTGAACCAGAGTGGTGCTCAAAAGAATCGTGCAAATCAATTGCCTCAGTGATAAATCAAAATGACTTTGTATATCATTCAAACTCTGACAGAAACTATTGGCAACACGGTCTAATGAGATCAGCATAATGAGGGGTTATTATTGCCTTAGGAAGAGGAAAGAACAACTTTTTATTCTTCACTTTTTACTAACAATTCTGTATTATTTCTTAACATTTTTATTTTCTATGACTCACATGAAAGTTCATAAGGTTTAAAATTGCATGATCCCTTCTTAGTATCGTCTTTAGTATGTATGCCCCCAATCTGTACACTACAGGACCTTGGGCCTATATGTTCAGTACTTGTTCTTATTATTTACATTTATTTATATTTTAAACAGAAAAAATCCACAATAAAATTATCTAAAAGAGCGATCGTCCTAAATCTTTCAAATGAATTCAATCATGGATGAACTAAAACCATCTAGAAAAAATTGAACATGAAAGTTTGAAACTCCATTTCACAAATTTCTTTCAAAAGTCACCATTAAATTAACTCAACAAATTCTTTATGGGGACTTACTGTAATTTTCCCCCCAAAATGTAAAACTCTAAACCAATATGGAAGTCAAATTATAAAGCTATTTACTTTTCCTACATAATTCTAATTACTAAGCAGGGGGAAAAAATCTACCTAACTTGGAAAAATAATATTCTGTTTTCTTGATTTTAAGATATTATTAATAATTAGATGCATTATTAGTTTTCTCGGTAAACAAAATTATTTTTAAACTGTAAATAAGCCATTTCTTAATTTCAGAATCATCTAAATGTGAAATAATATATGTGTCCATTAGAAATTTTATTTGTCTTTTAGTAACAATGTCTTAAATAAGATGGAAGTGTCTCTTTCTTTCTCTCTCTGTCTTATAAAAAGCCTACACAAAACTTCTGCTTCATCTCTTTGACTCCTCTGCAGCTACAAGGAAGGTTGAAAACGAAATCTTTTACTGAACACATTACCATTTAGAATATTTTTTCTAAGAAAGGTAGACAACCAGCCATCTCTGTGCCAACATACATTTTTATTTGTTTGTTTATTATTTTTTGTAGTACCAGAGATTGAAACCAGGGATGCTTTGCCACTGACATCCCCACCCCTTATAACTTTTTACACTGAGACAGGGTCTGGCTCAGTTGCTTAGGGCCTTACTAAGTGGTTGAGGCTGGCCCTGAACTTATGATACTCCTGCCTCAGCTTCCCAAATCGATGGGATTACAGACAGGCACCACCGCACCTGGCCCAACATATATTTTAAAACAAAGAAAATACAATTTACAAAGACTCCTTTCATGGAGGCCCTATTTTGTGCCAGATATTTTCCTAGGAACTTTGAATATGGCATCTCATTTAATTCTGATAATCCCACACCACAAAGTAGATATTAGTATCCCCATCTTACCCATGAGAAAACTGAAGCTCTTTAGAATAATAAACTTGCCTAAGATCACTTGGCAGTCACTGGGAAGAGCGCTCAATCTTATCATTTGTCCGTGTCCAAATATTGGTCCAGATATTCACATACTGTGAGTATCTCAGTGACACGTCACCTTTGTAGTAACTAAATGTTCACCTACAAGGAAGAGGAAATACGAAGAAAGATAATTTCCTCCCTCTTTTTAATTATTCTAGAGTAAAAGAAAGATCAATAATTCAAGTAACCAAAGATCTCTGATCTGTCCCTGATAAAACATTTCAAATAAGAAGGCTTAGTTCCAAAATCTAGTTTGGGAAGAAAAGAAGACCCCTAACACTGTGAGGAGTTGTTTGTTTTTGTTGTTGTTTTGGGTTTTTTGTTTGTTTATCTGAAGGAAATAATTTCTTCTTACATGTTAAAAGTAAACCAAGATCTGCCTTCACTTGTGTCTCCTTTGAATTCCAAAAGGCCTGTTTTCAAATCTGAACTGTAATTTAAGAGGTGTTAGAATTTCACACCTAAAAGAGATTTCAGTCCTAGGAGAACAGCTCTGGGTCCCTCCCTGGGATGAATTTGAGTGACAGCCACTGTGGGTTTTGCAAATGTCCATTATGGGTGGCAGAACTCTCATGTCCACTGCATGACACCACTGCCCTGGCTCCCACACAGCTGACCTGAGCCAGCTGAACATCATCAATAGTACTTTGAAACTTCTTTTTTATGAGAATGAAAACTTGAGTTTCACTTTCTATTTATAGGACTCACAAGGCCTCACTTCC